GTCATAGGCGTTAAGAATATTTGCTCCATTTATTTTTGGATCATAGAAATTTTCCAGGTTTATTCTGAGCTAGTCCACGGTCAGTGTTGCGTGGTCAAGATGAGATTTACTCCTGACATTACTGTCAGAACGTGGCAACAATTGCATTTATTGCTATGAACTCTTTGTCCTTACCTTGCCCAGTAGATGGTAGTGTTGGCTGTTTTTTCTAATTTATTTTAAAATTGTGCATCAAGATGTGTAAGGCTTTTTTCTTCTTTTATTTTTTTTTTGTCCTTTGCATTTCAGTTGTTGCTCCCTTTTCTTCTCTTTTATTTCTGCCTGCTCTCCCAAATAATATTGTTACCTTGTACAAAACAATAGTGGCCTTTATTCTGATTTGATCTCTATCAGTACTGATGAGATCTTGTTCATTCTTAAAAGGGCACGAGTAACGGCAGACGGAGAGAGGCTGATCTTTGTTGCTCTGAATTAGACACACGCGACAGCAGAGCCTTAGTCTGAAACTTGATTGTGTATATTTCCTCCCAGTAGAAGAGCAAATGGGTATAAACTGACTGTGAATAGATGCAAATGGAGTGTTAGGCAGTGGCTTTTTTGGGAAGGAAATTCAGGAACGGGCTTTCAATAGAGGCACTGGTAACAGAAAATCTGGCCTCTTTTCCATTTATGAAATACTTGTGTGATACTATTGCCTGCAATAAAAAAAGGCTTCATCTCAGTGACTTACAATACTTGGTCCAGTCCTGTGTAAATTTCAATGCAGTTTCATTTAAAAAAAATTTACTGATAGCAGTTTTGTTCCCTGTTGAAAAACTTAGCATGTGGACAGACAGAAATGGTTCAGAAAATACTTATAATGTTTGAGGAACGGGCTTTCAATAGAGGCACTGGTAACAGAAAATCTGGCCTCTTTTCCATTTATGAAATACTTGTGTGATACTATTGCCTGCAATAAAAAAAGGCTTCATCTCAGTGACTTACAATACTTGGTCCAGTCCTGTGTAAATTTCAATGCAGTTTCGTTTAAAAAAAAATTACTGATAGCAGTTTTGATCCCTGTTGAAAAACTTAGTGTGTGGACAGACAGAAATGGTTCAGAAAATGTTTATAATGTTTGGTCATTATTTATTTAAACCTTGCTTTCCCTCAATGTATTCTTTATTTTTTGATTGAATATGAAAATGTTCCTGGGGATTAAATTAGCAGTCATATAAACTGAAGTTCTGGTATATCATGGCATCGTTTCCTGATAAAGTTTTTCACATTCTCAGCTCTATGGGGAAGGAATCTGCAGTGATGTTTTGATGAAGTTGCTGTTTAGGTCCCTTTTGATCCTTGTGGAAACTGCTAAACAAGGCAGCTAAGTAAGTTCTGTGTTGTGTACTTACCCACTAATAGTTGGACTCCTCCTGCCAACTCAGTTTATCATACATTTGTGCTAAAAGAACTGCAGCGTCTTGAAAATGTGTATTTTTGCCATTGTTGCTTGCCTGCACATGAAACTTCAAAATTTAAATTTCCTATCTAATTGTTATATTTATATTCTGTTTATCTTGCTGTGGATTTGCTTGTGAAAGCTGCTGAGGTTTCTTTCTCTTCTTCTTCTTTGCCTCCTGATCTTTTAAGACCAGTGGCTTCTCTGGGTGGGATAGAGGGTTGTTTTCTTAAGAGGTTACTTAAAATTAGCAGAGGCACTTGGCGAAAGTCAAGTGGATTAAATTCACACCCAACGAGCTTTATAATTTATTCTTTTTCAAACACTGAAGTGACAAAAATCAGGCATCTTTGTGAGATTATTTTAGAAGTACTTGATAATGACCTGACTTTGTTTCCATCAGTGGGAATTTTAGTGTTTGCTCTAATGAAGACAGGTTTAGGGAAAATCCCTTCATCCAATGCAAATATATATATTTACTTAAGGAATTTGGTGACTTAGTAACAATTTGTTACTTCAGAAAGCTATTGGTCTGCCCTCAGAAGGTGGCTGATTGGCAACGTTTCCTTCTCTGTATCACCAGACTGTGGGGACACCTGGGGAAATGTATGTGGGAACTGCTCTGGCTATACTAAACACCACAAAGTAGAGTAAATATTATGACTGAACCCTTACCTTTGTTTTTTTTTTTTCTTGTCGCCTTCTTTCTGGGTAGAAGAGGCTTCTGAAAGTGTTGAATTTTTTCACTGACACATAAACCACCATTAGTCTTGATCCCTTTTTGTTGTGTGTCCAGCAGCAGACACTAGTTGGCACGTTGCTCTGCCAGCTTCTATCCTGTGATGGCTTTGTGCAGCAGGCTCCTCTCTACATCTCTTTATCCCCTTTTTCAGCAATTTACCTCTGTCATAGGGGTTTTTTTTGTTGCCTTTCCTCCCCAGCTAAAACCGGAGCATGACTCCCCAGGTCTGAGGCGTTTCTCTGGGTGAGCTGTGGAGAGCTCAGCGTGCACAGCAAAGCTGAGGTACCTGTGCCTGGGGAAGCAGGGGGTGAAAGCAGACATATCTGCTACAAGATTGTGTCCCAGGAGGAGCTGGAGGCCTCTGATGCCGATGGAGGCCAGGCTGAGGGCAGAACCAGGAGATGCAGAGGTCCCATGGGGCGGCCGGCCTGGTAGTGTTGTCATGAAGGCTGTGGCAAGTGGTTGTTCACCATGGCTGATGCCAGCTCAGCATGGTGGCCTGGCTTCTGGAGAATTCCATCCTTCAGACTTTGGCTCTTCTCTGCCATGAGCAGCCTCCAGTGAAAGGGTAGCTGGTCCCAGCCTTCCCTGCAGGCATCCATCTTCCCTCGCTTGAGGCCCGTCAGTTGGCCCTCTGAAGGCAGGAGGGCCGTCGGGTCACTGAGGGTGACGTCCTGGGGTATCACAGCAGGTCCCAGTGGAGGAGGAACCTGTGTATAGTGTTGGGGCTGAACATCGGTTAGATCATGCAGGAATATCTGAGGTATTAATTGGGATATACCTTCAGAAATACCTTCAGTGTATGGATGTTCCGGCTGACTGACAGGCTGAGGGAGTTGAGGGGGGGGTTCAGCCTGGAGAAGAGCAGGCCCCAGAGAGACTTTAGAGCCCCTTCCAGTCCCTAAAGGGGCTCCAGGAGAGATCCTGAGAGTCCAGAGAGGGACTCTTTGTGAGGGAGTGGAGCCACAGGATGAGGGGTAATGCTCTTAAATTGAAAGAAGGGAGATTTAGATGAGATCTCAGGAAGAAATTCTTTGCTGTGAGGGTGGTGAGAACCCCGGAACAGGTTTCCCAGAGAAGCTGTGGCTGCCCCATCCCTGGAGGGGTTCAAGGCCAGGCTGGATGGGGCTTGGAGCAACCTGGTCTGGTGGGAGGTGTCCCTGCCCAGGGCAGGGAGTGGGACGGGATGATCTTTAAGGTCCTGTCCAACCTGAACCATTCTATGATGTTGTATGAGGGTGCAGGAGAGTGTTTCCAGGAGCTGGTTAGGAACGTCTCTGTCTCCTGTGGGTGGGTGGGCATCAGCACTGCTGCAGAGTTAGAGCCCTGGGAAGCAAGGAGAGGGTTCCCTCTGGCATCCTCCTTCTGCAGTGATAGCAAAGCACCAGCAGCAAAAATGAGCTTAGCCAAAGTAGGAGCCTAAGTCAGCTGTAAGACATGGGGATCCTCTTCTGAGTGGAACTGCACTGCTTTTCCTTGGGTAGAACTACGTGTCTGTCCACAAACTGAAGTTACGTCCACCACACTGGAGTGAGATGTTAGTGCATTTTCCCACACTTGGGTTATCTATTGTGAGCGTAGATGATGACAAGTAAAAATCTTGGCTCCAGAAGTCATAGGACTGTGTGAAGTCTTCCTCTTCTTCCTCTCCCTCCCCTGAGCTGCTTGTATTCCGTAGGGCCTGGAGGCTCTTCACAAATGCTGAGGGTGGAAGGACTATATTAGTGAAAGCACGCTGTTGTGGTGTGTACGTCGTGGGGTTCAGTTTTGCTTTCAGTCAGAACGGCTTATTTTCAGTACTATACCACAGCAGGGTCCAAAGTGAGTGGGAGTGATTCATCCTGCAGCCTCTGGAGGCACAGAGAAGATCAACTGCAATTGCTCCCCATCTCATTTTCCCAAGGTAAAGTTGCCTGACCAGAGCAACAGAAACGGGCTTCATTCTGCTGCCCCAAAGGCCTATTCTCACAGGTGGGGAGCTTTGAAAGACTCTCTCAGGTATAATTTTTCCTGTTGACCTGTGGGAGCACCTCACTGCTGGAGACCCATCCTCTGTGGCAGAGCTCGGAGAGTGACACCCCTTCACCCTTTAGATGGACAAAATGCTGCCTTCAGTTCCACCTGTGTAACCGGCTGGGCCTGCAAACCAAGTAGACTGGGAAGCTGAAGTTTATTTTCATCTGGTAGCACTGGAATCATTACGGCATTTGGAAGATGTGTTTCTGCTGGCAGCGGGATGGATGGGACTCCCGGTGCTCCCGTGTAAGCACAGCATGTGGGGTATTGTTGAGCCTTGCTTCTGGCTGACAGTAATACCACGTTCAGCGTGTAATTAAACAGCTCATAAACTGCCTTGAGATGTTTGTTTATGTGCACTTTACAGCAGAGAAGTACTGTGTTTTCAGAGGATGCTGAAATTTCTGTGAAGCATTTGTATTTGACATTCAGTTCCCTTTTCGTCGACAAAAATACTCAGTGACTGGAGCACATTATTTTGCTGGCAATGAAAAGCATATGGTTAGATTTCCCCATGAATTTCTGGTGCTGATTTTTTGATTCTCATGTATAAGTTAGATATCGATCTGCATGTGGAGGCATCTTTATTAGTATCTGTTGGAACTTAATATTTTTCAATGACAAAATAACTTCTCATTCTGCTTGAAAGAAACAAGAAAGGCTTGTTTCTAATTCCTTGTGGATAAGCAGAAACACCTAGAAATTAGATAATATGGTAAGGACACCATGTAAAAACTATCTTGGTGAACGTGTCCCAAGAGGGTATTTGTAACTTTACTATTTGCCATTTGTTTTGTCTTACAGTTCAGAGTGAATGAATTTGGGGCCCTGGAAGTGATTACAGATGAAACTGAGATGGAAAGTGTTAAAAAGGCAACTGCTACCACAACCTGGATGGTTCCAACTGCTCAAGAAGGTCAGTTAAGAGGCAGTAAACGTTTTCTGTGGTAGACTGTATTTTGTTTAGTATATCAACTTTTCTTAAAGATTGCCTCCTAAAATAATAACACACCCCCACTTATTTGCTTTAATGCACAGAGCATCTCTGATGATGCTACCTATTTCTTGGGGTGTGAATAAGTATGGAAATGAATGCATTTTAAGTTAAAAAGAAATAATTCCACTGTTAGACATCTGAAACGTGTAGTAACCATTTATGTTTATCTTGAATGATAAAATTCTAATAGTTGTGCTGTGTGTTAACCAAATAAGGTGTTTCCTGGATTTAAAATATTGATGTAAGGAAACACCTATTTTGTTCAAGGAAGGTTGGTTTACATGGTCATAAATCCTGACTCCAGCAATGACAAGAGTAGCATGAAAGAGAATATCACAATGGGTTTTGCGATTACTTAGAACTACCTAGTGGTTTTTTTCCTTATTGATACTATATTTTATCAGTTTTCTTTTACAATATGCCTTCTGTAACTCCTGTGAAAAGCAGACTTCAAATTTTTGGTTTAATAATAATCGGTATAAACACGATAAGCAAAGTCAATGAAATTTTTCCTTTTGCTACTCCCCCCCCCACATTAAGTCTTAATTGTTGTGTGGCTTTTATGAGTAGGTGAAACGTTTACACCAGTGGGAAAGTGGTTTGGGCCTCAGCTGGGAGGTCTGAAGCTTCAGAGCACAGCTCCTCTGTTCTGTAGGTCTGTCTCCAGGGCAATGATAGTTATTAAAGACTACAGTTGCGATGAGAAGAGTGTGATCACACAGCAGGTTCTCCCCTTAGACCGGGAGATGACAGTTACCTCCAGCAACGTATACAACTTCATCCCCTGCACTCTGGTAAACCTGAAAAAAATAATGTTGCTCCTGAATTAAATGTGTTTGTGGACACGTAAACCTACCAAGTAAGCATCCTACTGCTACCTTACACTGTCTTTGACTAATTTAATGCTCCCCAAAGATAAAAATATCGCTAAAATGTTCCATTGTGAGAGGAAATAGTTGTTTTGAAACACTTAATTATGCTGGAGTGTGAATGTAGCATGTAAATGATATATTCTTCTAGTGGAGATAGCCTACACACAAGAGTTCACTTGACTCCACTTTCAAAGACAGTGTTCAAGCAAAAGAAATTGTTTGTGACTTGAAATTTGCCTTTTGGAGGGGTGCAAAGACCTGCTCTAGAAGCTGGAGAACTTGACAGGGTTTCATAGTCACCTCTAAGTGCAAGAAACAGCATCCTCTGCTAGCCTACACACCTCTTGCAGGGAAATTGTAGTTTAGGATGAGCAGTAACTTAGTATTTGAAAATTTCTTTGTTACAGATTAGTGATTTTATTTTTTCACTTCTGGTAGACCTTAGGCAGGTTGAACAAGAGCTACTGGTCTCTCTGTGGGAGACTAGAATGTAGTCTGATTTCCTTCCAGAAATAAGTTCACCTATTGAAAAATAACTCCGCCCAAGACCTTTTTCCCAAATGACCCTATATGTAGGTCAAAAATGAGAGCTGCCAGCAGGAGATGAGGTGATGGGCTCTGTGCAGTGATCACTCCGTGGGTGTTAAGCGCGGTTCCTGTTACAAACCTCACTCCTTCAACGAGCAGCCACATCAAGCGGTGTCGATGTGCTGCTGCTGACAGAAGCATGAAATTGGTGGATTCCTCTCTCTAGTGTTGCAACATGAAAAACCCAACATGCTTGTCAGGAATGTGGGCCTCAGTTCTTCATTCTAACAAGAATTATGTGACTTCCACAATTGTTTTAATGCCTCAGCGCCTGCTGAGGATGCTTGAAAATGGGTTGCCTTTACCTAAGTGAAGTTCCTTTTTCCGTTGTTCAGCGTTTTCAGAAAAGACAGGGATCTCCACGAGGTTGAAGGAAACTGCAAAAATGGATGGACTTGTTTTCTGTGAAAACTGTTATCGCTATGGTACCATAGAAGAATTTGTTCCTGAAGGGAAATTTTGCAGCCAGAAATGTGCCCAGCAAGTAAAAAACAAGTAGGTGCCGTTATGAAGCATAGAAACAAAGAATTTGGCATAAATGCAGCAATGAGATACAAGGGGTGGGATTAAACTTTAATGGTGGGAGGTATTAAGCAGCCATGTTTTGGTGAGTCTCCGTGGGTTTATAATGTTCTTTCACTGTTTTTCATGTAAATGCACTAAGAACATTTGTCTAACACCGTTTTTCATGTAAATGCACTAAGAACATTTGGTTTTGTCTAACGCTGATGCTGAAAGCGATCTTTTTTGCTCTGAGTTCCACTGTCAGATGCAAGCAATAAAACAGTCTATGGGATACGTGAATCAGTGTCAGACTCCCGCCCTGATTCATAATCATTGGAATTAAGATAATCAGTAATGAGCTGGTTGGTGTGGTAAGCTAATTATAATTAAGTGCAAGAGCTGTGTTGTAGATGACAGAGAGTGAAAACACGAGCGTGCCATAGTTTCTCAGTTCCTTTTCTTTCAGCTGGTGCAGTTCATCTCATCATGAAAGAAGGTTTGTGTTGGCATGTCCATTCTGGTTTGCCTATCGCTGCATTATGGCAGTTTTTAACACCTATGATTTTGCGCCTTTTCCTTCATTTTTAGCTCAAATTTGTCTGCTCGGATTTGCTTGTTTAGCAATTTGTACAGTCGCATTCCAGCTTTCTCCCACTGGATTTTTTAGTCTTCACAATTACCTAATTACCTTTCCCTTCCTCTCTGTAAACTGCCCAGTGGTCCTAAATGTTGCACAGTTTGTTTTTCTGTGAGACTTGATGGTACATGGGAAAAGACATGGTTTAAGACATGTGGAACTTGTTCAGCCTAAGCCAGTGGCTTTCCTCCTACAGTCACTATTGTGTGTCTTTCCGATTAATTCTTTTGACATGTAATTTTCAGTAGTAGTTCCAAGAATATATTTAGTATAACACCCTGGGACCTACAAACACTTGGCCTTCAGGTCTACTCGCTTTTTACTCGATTTGTGATAGAGAAGTGTAAGGATTTCAGCTTTGTGTCACCGTGTTACTCTCGTAACAGAGAACCAAAGGAAGAAAAGCCCAGTGTGGAATGCAACGGGGAGGATGATTCCAAAGGCATTCGGAAAAGAAAAGCAAAGTTACCTCTCAAAGAAGAGTCCAGGGATAACGGGGAGAAGAAAGAAAACTCCGACGAAAGTGTTAGTATGCAGCATAAACCCATTCCTGCAAGTATTTTGGTGGGAGTTTTGCCCCATTTTGCAATGTCAGTAACTTCATCAGTCTGCAAAGAGAAGTGATGGCGTCACTCTGTCAGAGCCACAATAAGTAGTTGGTTCACTTTCCTATTTAATTATACCAATAATATGCCCATGAACTGATAACAGCTGGTTACTTTTATCTCTTTTCCCTCCTTTTTTAAGAACAGAACAAAAAGAATTTAAAGGAAATGTGATACTAACCTAGACTTTCTATGTCTTTACCATAGAAAAAGAGAAGTACATCTTTCCTAACACCTGTTACTTTATCACTCTGCACATGATTAAATGAGTATAGACTGGTAATTTATTTACAAAGAAAGCTACATTACAGTTAAGAAGAGAATACATTTGATTTTCTCAGTGTAATTTGCCTCAGAAAATCATAGCTAAAGGTTTGGTTTTATTTTGTGTGGTAGTGTAACGTGCTTTGAGGTACCTTTTGTTGTTGTTTTTTTTACTTTTGGGTTTATTCTTCATTTTAGAATAAACTGATCACAGTGCCTTCCCATCGTGTTCATTTTCCTGGAATATTTGTTTTCCTCTCAGGAGCTGTGTTACTGTTGGCAGGAGCACAGTTTTGAGGGAGAAGGGGAGAGCTCTGCAACTGCCCAGTTGTCAAAAGGCTGAAGACACTGGAGCTGTCAGAAGGGAATTGTCAGGAAACACCTTGTATTTAGTAAAGCAATTGTACATTTGGAAAAAAAAAAAAGGCAGACTAAAGCTGTGAGAGGTTTTCCTTTAAATTATTTTGGAACTATGAACATGTCAAAGATGCTGCTATTTATCCCTGGCTCAGCCAGGCCTGCTGAAGGCTTTGTGGGCTGTCCCTGGTTTAGACAAGGCTGGCTGAGCGCTGGCTGCTGAGCATCCTCCTGGCTGTCATTTTCACCCTGTTTGCTGTGATTTGTCCCTGATGGCTTTGGTTTTATTAGACATCTGCAGGTTTGTTTGAGATAGCGGAGGGCTACGTCCGTAGCCATTTAAATGAAGTCACAGTTAAACCTTGGGTGCCTCCGTTTTTACTGTATTAGACTTCTGAACTAATGAGATGGTTGTACTCTTCTTTTAATTTAGGAGGACAAACCTGAAGGAAGGATCTTGAGAGTCTCACAGAGAACCAGGAGAAAAAGAAAAGGGGAAATAACAGTTTTGAAACAAAGTAAGTTAGTTTGTGAAACAAAGATCTCAACTATCAATTTCCTAGGTGGTACCCATCTCTTATTGGGGGTTGCCAGCCTTGTCTCACTGAATTTGCATTCCCTATGGAATGTGTTTTTGTCAGCTCTGTAAAAGGAGAGTGCCAGTGTTATTTATAGTAATTAAGTTTTAAAGCTTGAAGAACTGAGAGAGCCAAGTGAAAACTGGGGAAAAACCCATCACTGGGAGATTGATTACCTTTTGCAGTTTATATATCTTCGGCAGCGTGGAGGAGGATGGAGTGAGTGTAAATGTGATCGATGCACATTTTAAGTGTTTTTTCATCCCTCTAAAGAGTAACGGGGTTTAAGGGAATCAGGCCCATTGAGTTCCCAGATGTGGAAAGACATGTATTAAGCAGAAATGAAAGTTTACTTTTGTTTCCTTCGGGATCAATTCTACAGTATGTGCTGGAAATAGACACGTTTGTGGGGAACTGTTTAGGAGTAATTGTTACAATCAGTCCAAAGGGACACACGCTGCGTCAAGCAGCATAATAAAATGTATTTTAAGTGAGTACTGTTTTTTCAAGCTATTTGTAGGATAGATACTTTGAGGAAGAAGGGGAGAATCAGCAGCTGTTACACCTCCGTGATACACCAAGCACAAACCTGCATCTTGCCCTCTAAAGCATTTCTAATGGTAGAATGGGACCAGTAGCAGAAGTTGCTGGGCCACTAATCAGCACAGAACTCCAAGTAGCTCTGCTAACATAAAAGTTACAGAAGATCCCCCTCCTGAGACAGAATTACTCCTGAAATAGTCATATTATTTCTATAGTTGTTTCCAAAGCTGAGGTGATAAGAAGCGTGTGAGGTGCAAGCACAAAGCTGGTGCTGTGTGGAAATCACTGCTGCCCACTGACTGAATGATCTGTACCCATTTCTTCTGTTTTTTTTTTATTTGGGGAAAATGTCATTTCAACTCAAGAGAGTGTAAAAGAGCGATTTATATTCAGAACCAAGCATATAACTGTGCATTATTGTGCTGAGCAACACATCTCTTAAATGGAATAGATAAAAACTGGATAAATCACAAATAAAATGAATGTGCTTTAATAGTGTTGAGCGATTGCTGCGATTCTGAAATTCGTTATCTTTTGGTTAAATTATCAGCTTTCTTCAGGAGAGCTTGGCATTGTTATTGTTATAGTTCATGTTTTAATCATAACAACGCGTAGCCAGACTGTTACTTAAGGGGCTTATTTCAAGTGGTGGATTAGGTTAGAAACATCCTGAATACTGACAAAGAAAAAAGTATTTCTACTGTGATTAAAAAAAAGTCACCAGTTGAAAATGCTTCCCAGGAAAAGAAGTTCTTGGAGAAAAGAAAAATGAAACTATTGAGGTACTTTGTGATTTGGACTAATCATTTTACACATTTTTACACAAATTGTGTATCTTAATGCTTCTTATGAACAATAAGGGAAAAGGGACAGGGTGCAAGACTTTGTGAGTTGTTTTTGTCACTTGAAAGAGATTTTGCTTGTTACTAATCAAGATGTGAACTGTTGGAAACCTTCCTGTACAAACCAGGAGGCTTCATGTTCCTCGTGCTGTTAAACCTACAGAGCTACTTCATTTCCTGAAGTAAGTCCAGAGAAACACCATGAATCTAATGAAATGTAGATTTGAGATAGGTATGTTATAAACTTCGAAGTGTTAGGTTTATTTTATTTCTTGAGAAGTTAAGAATTACAGAATTCTTTTACTATTGTGTGCTTCTTTACAGCTGTGCCATCTAAAGGAAGGCAAGCGTGGTGTTGGGCATCCTATCTGGAGGAAGAAAAGGCTGTTGCAGTGCCTACGAAGCTTTTTAAAGAGGTAGGGCCTTCTGAACTTGCAATCAATCAACCACTTAAGATTATAAGATTTTTAAAAAATCAATTAAAAGAAAAAATAAATTTGAAGATTTTTACTCTTCTCTGGGGGAAAACCTACCTGATGAAAATAATGCGATCCATCAGCAATCGTCAAGATAGTCAAAATGTGTGAAATTATTTATCTTCCTCTGCTTTTTTCAAAGAATTTTGTAGTGGTAGATGGATGCTGTCAGCTGAGACTACAGAAGGCAGATGCTTTTCCAAAATCTGCAAGTTCTAGCGTTCCCTTTCTAGCCTGAAGCTAAAAATCTGATACGTATGATTCTGATACGTATGATACCCTCATTTTTTCACATCATTTTTCCTTCCCTTTAAATATCTTTAGCTAGGTGGTACGAAGGTCCTCTTTTGGCTTGTTGCTTTCATTATATGGCCTGTCTTTTTGCAGCTCCTGTTGACAATTGTTTTGTGACATCAGATACTGGTTTGGCTTGTTCTCATTTTGCCTGTCGTCTGGGTGGATGTCACATCATCATCATCATCTCTTGCTTGTCCCTTGCCTGCTACGGCAGCCTTTGTCTTTTGTCAGCTTTCTCTAAGCTGTCTCTCTTGCTTGGAAAGCAGCTCTGTCTGCAAATCCACAAAGCTTCCACACTCTTCCCTTCTCTTGCAAAACCTGGCAAAACATGTGAACGTGTCTCATGTTCACTGCTGCACTTCCACTGTCTATATCCCCTATTATTTTTTGATAGTTCTTTTCTTACTTGTAGTTTGCTTCTTGCATCCGTTTCTTCCTGTTTGCTTTATACTTCAACTATTAGATCTCTTGGGCAGGGATTAGCTTTTGAGTTCACGTGTGTGAGTGATGCTGAGCTTTAATTGGTGCTTTGAGGCATTACTGAGGTACAAGAGTAAAGAATGTAGAGAATCCATAGATTTGGAGGTGGAATAATAGCAGTTTCCTGACTGTTCCTTAGTTATATTTCCCTGTGCTATATACTGGTTGAAAAATTGACAAGAAAAAAATGCGGGTAAGTAGTGTCTCTGTCTGGAAGGCAGATTTACAGGGCCTTGCTCTGTCTGTCTGAAGGCTTTTTTTCTTTTATTTTCCCTTTAAGAAGCAGTATTTTTCACTGTGGTTTTTTGTACCCTTCGTTAGGAACGGTCAGGATAATGGCAATTAAATCTCAGAGTCATTTCTAGGCTGTGATGGACAAGCTGTTGTTGCTCCAGTGAAACAAAATGATTGACCCTTGACTGTTGTATTTTTCAATCTCCAGCTCCCTTGATGTAATGGTTCAGGTTTTGTGTATGTTCTTGCACTTTACATAAACATTCCTAATCCTCAGTCTGCCATCTGCTCATTTGCTGACTCCTTTTACCTTTACTCTTATTTTGTTCTTGTATCTCTCCTTAACAAAGTATCTTTAAATGTTTGTTGTGAAAAGAATCTGTGATTACTAGGTTTTTCATAGCTTTGCCTGGGTGACGTATTGAGAATAATGCACAAAATTGAAATCTGATAAATAGTATTAAAGTTATTAGTCTTCTAAAAGTTGCCTGTTCTTTTGCTGTAACAGGAACCAAATTAAAGATGCACTGCCTTTGAAGTTTTAGATTTGACAGTGGAAAGAGTAGTGAATAATTCATGTCTTCGGTTTCAGGAAATACGTATCTGAGAATAGCTTAATTTTTAGTGTATTGTTTTGTAGAATTATTGTACTGTTTGCACAGTAAGGTTTATTATAATAATGAGAAAATAAACAAATCTGTGACTATTTAATTGTTTCCTTTCTTTGTAATTTTATTTGTGCTTGCTTTTGCAAAATCTCAGTTCTGTTTTTGGCCGCTGTGTCAATGTGGCCAATGTGTCAGTAGTTCTAGCATTTCAGTTCTCCACTGAGGTTTTTTATCTGTAAGGTACTTATGATACAGATGGCATTAATTGCAGATCTGCGCGCCAAGATGAACTTTAAAATTTTCAGTTTATTTATTAAAAAAAAAAGCTCTGCTTTTACATGCCTCTTTAGGGAAGTATCCAGAGTTACGCATAGCGTAACTTCATAAAACTTTCATTGATAATAAAAATGTAAAATGTGGTGATGTTAGGATGAAATAACTTTTCAAATGTGTGTACTGCTGTGAGACACTCTGATCCCTTAACTGAGGGCTTCAAAACAATCTAACCTATGTTTAGAGAGGGACCTAGAACTGTGGTTGGACATCTCTTAACTGCCCACTTTAGGCTGATTTAAGCTGCTCTGGTTCTCCATTTCCCTTCTCCTTGTCTGCATATTCCTGCACTTCTGCCGTGCACTGAGTTTTTTTTTTTTTCCTCCTGGCTTTATTATTCAGTTGCAGCCAAAGCCACTAAAGAGAGGTCTCCCTTCCTCCCAAGTAGGTGAGACCTCTCTGAGCACCTCCCTTGGTACCCTTCTCTTCCCATGGGCCGCAGAGGTGCTGTAGGGAGCATGTGTGGCTTTTAGACCAGAACAGAAGGAAGGGGGAGCATATAAGATTTTGTTTGTAACCACTTGGGACATGAAAACTGTCTAGCTGTGATTTGGTAGCTTGTGGAGACCCTCTTCGGTTTTATTTAATTTTTGTTCTGATTTTCTTTCCAATTTAACTTGAGTATCTGCTAGCTTCGTTTATTCTTTAATTGAAGATAAGGAGCATAATACACGGGATGCTGGTGTCTTCTGATTGAAAACATCCTTTTATGCTTAGTCTTGTTTTCACTTTCTTTTTTTTGAAAGATGTTCTTCTGTCTTCATTGTAATGTGATACAAAGGTAATCATGTTCCTCTGTGATGAAAAGATATTCCTGGAAAATGAGCTAGTTGAGACCCAACATAGAAAGGAGAAGATGGCATCAAAGAGGCCATCCCTATATATAAATGATGTTCTGTATTTCTGTTTTGCAATTAGTCTTTGGTGGCCTGAGATGTGGAAATGAAAAGGCAAAATAGAGGATTATTGTTATGATAGTTATAGGAATGATGACTACCAGGTCACAGTGTCACTGTACAGGCTGAAAAACAATGACATTGGTGAAATGTTTTTATTTACAATTAGTGAAAAGCAAATCACTCCATCTTCTTTCCCTTGGGTAAGTTTTTTGCTAGTTCTTTATAAATTTCATAGGTACTCTCAAGTTTTAAGTCATTCTGGCCTCAGCATGTTTTTGGATCATCAATTTCTCTTTTTCCTCAGTATGTTTTTAAAAATGCAAAACTTATTTTAAAGCAATTCATTAGTTGTTTCAGAAACGTGAGTAATAAATAACAATTTTCCTTTGCCTTCTAAAGATATTCTGTCTTTCTCTGGTATACTTTCAGCAGAATTGAAACTCATCTTTTCCCTTGCAGTATCAGTCTTTTCCGTACAACAAAAATGGATTCAAAGTGGGGATGAAGCTGGAGGGCGTGGATCCCGAGCACCAGTCCATATACTGTGTTCTCACAGTGGCTGAGGTAGGTCGAGGCAGCCATCGGGCAGGATTACAGGAGTAATGTAAAAAAAAAACATCAGCATGACAACTAATTAATAGTGGTTTTATAGAGGTTTGATATTATTTACTGTTGCTCAATTCAAAATGCCTTACGCCTCTTTGTGTTGCGTTTGTGCTGCAATCTCAATTCAAAATGCCTTACGCCTCTTTGTGCTGCAACTTTTTCAGGTTGATGGCCTCAGAAATTGCCTATATTGGCAAATTCTGCAAATTAATATTCCATATAAACTCAGTTTGTCTTTTTGCTGCCGTTTACAAAATATTTTAATTTGATGAGTAGTTTCTTTGCTTTTAATAATACAAATGAGAACCCATTTCTCCGGGACCTTTTTTTGATGTTTTTCAAACACATCTTACATGAGCTTTATGTAGTTTTACCAAGGATCCTTTTTTGGTTTTTTGTGAATTAGGGAAACAGGAATAGGGCAGGTACTCTTCTGTCTCACTGTTATTCTAAGCAGCTGTAATTCTGCAGTTTATATTCTTATAGCCCAGGCTTTTGTTTTCCCATGTATGGATCTCTTCGTGGCCCATAGACGTATGCCATTGCTTTGGATATCTCTTCCATCTTCTTGTGGATGGTGTGTCAGTGGTTGAGTATCTCTTCTGTACCTTGTGCTTGTCACTAAACGTGGGTCACGTTTTACTCCAGGATGACTGAATTCCATATAATTCTGAGACGGCAAACTGAAAGTTCTGTCAGTATAAATTAAATTTAAAATAGGGTGACCGTGATGTCAAGAGACTTTCATGGATGACTGCAGGAAAGTTATGGCATTTGACATTCAGGAGAACTTTTGTACAGAGAGAGGGATTGTATGTTTTTCTCTTCCTCTTGGTGGTTAACTTACTACTTTATGGAATAACAGAGTTCTGGAGGATACCTCCACTGACTTCTCATCTTTAGTAGCAGTTCTGAGTGTCTCTCTGGAGAGCCTGTTAAACATAGTTACTGTTGAGTGCTCTCTTGCATATTGATTAATCGGGATAGCTTGAGAGCTTCATTATCCACGCTTTCTCCATGACTGCATCAGATGTATTCATGCTCTTCTGTAGGGTTTCTGTTCTATTCTGGTGCTGCGTTGAACAGTTTTCAAGTTTTTGAATACTAATGGCAATATCCAGTTTTTAGTTAATTCTTCTCTCAAGAAGAGAAGGCTTTCACATTAAGAATAGCTTTGGGTTTTTATTCTTTCCTTTTTTCCAAATGAATTTATTCATCGAGTGTGGGCTTGAGCAGAAGTAAAAGGCAGACTGAAAGTGTACTAATAGATGTAATACCTAACAGAAACTGTGATGTGTAGGGCAAACATCTTAAAACACAGTGTTGTGTGTTGTACATTCTTACTTTTAGGTTTGTGGCTACAGAATACGACTGCATTTTGATGGGTACCCAGATTGTTACGATTTCTGGGTGAACGCTGATTCCTCAGACATTCATCCTGTGGGATGGTGTGAGAAAACAGGTCACAAGCTTCATCCACCTAAAGGTATTGCTTGGTTTGAAATGTGTGTGTTTTTCATAGCTCTGAGATCAAGACTGTCCGTGTAATGCTGCAGTTATTTTTTTTGGCAGAAAATTTTTCATTCATTTAGTCAGAGCGTTTGAACATGGCAAATGAAACTCTAAGTCTTGCTAAAATCTTGAGATTGAAATCCTGCCCTTTTTATTCATTGGAAATCCAGAGAAAACAAGAAATAAAAGTGAACCATAAGAGTAGTTCGTAAAGCATTAGGAAGAAAAGCTAAGCAACAAACCAAGACCCCAACTGAATGCTTATTGCAAGTAAAATTGCATTGTTCAGCTGACATGGATGCTGAGGTCTGACAGGCAGCTGAGAATCCTTTAGTGGAAGGTCTTAGGACATTTTCATTACTAATTATTGATCACCATTATTATACATGTGTTGGCACAGACTAATAAAGGTTATGCTCTTGCCACAAAGAGTAAGCTTGAAATAGAGACAAAAAGAGGAATGAACAGGTAAGGAGTGAGAAAAAGTCGTAAGATTACAAGCCTGAAAGTGTGATTTGTACATAGCTTATGTAAATGATATACACGTGTTGAAATATGTGTAATTTGCTTGCTTAATTATTCTATTTCAGTTTATATAACTCATTTATTTTGGCAGATGGAGTGCATCTGCATTGAACTGTACCGTGAAAAAAGGGATAAATGGGCTCCCTTTTGGGAGGGAATACATGGGGCTGAAGGGAATGAGTTTCAGTAAAGGCAGTCACTCACTGAAATTTCTGGTGGTTTTGGTCTTGTTTTACCAGATTGTAACATATGAACTAAAATAGATGTTTCTATAACTACTATTTAATAGGAGAATGGAGGAAGATGACTATTTGCTTTCAACTCAGCATTGTTTGATAAATTAGAAGGACAAACGGTTTCCTGTGAATTACTTTATACAGTTCAATACATTATGAATTATTTTTCCAAAGAAACTAGAAGCTGCAAACCATCAACAGCAACTTAGTTTTCTTTCCAGGTGCTGTTGACACAGAATAAAACAATGAAGAAAGTGCACGCAGGGGGGAGTTCTACACTGTAAATGTGTAAGGGGCCCTGGGGCATTGATGGTGTAAGCAACTATTTTGATATAACCTGGGGAGTTTGTTTTAAAGCTAGTCATGATGGTGCTGTATTAGTGAATGCCTGAGGATGTGGTAGGGTGAAGAGGAGGAGGAAGTTTTTTCAGTTGGAGAGGTGGCAAGGTGTAGTTTTATTGAGGAGAGACAAAGTTTGTGCCACTTGGAGAGGTTTGTTCAAAGGGGGGGAGATTGTAGTATAAAACTGATATCTTACTGAGACTTAATTTTCTGATATCTGGTAGAATTGTGGATTTGTGTCTCTAGGCTGCCCTTAGATGTTCTGCCCCTTCGGGACCTTCAGGTCTCTTGATGGTCAGGACAGCAAGGTTGGACATCAGGGACAGAGCAGTGATTTTTTTCAGAAACACTCCCAAGCTTGTTTTGAAGGTGAAATGGAAACTAAACTGAAATCTCCTGAGTTCTTGCCCATTTTTATGACTATGCTTCCTCCCAGGTGAAGATCAGGAATAGTTCAAATACCAATCCTAGCCAACTATAAGAAACTAATAATGTGCAGCTCAAGAAAGCAGAGCATTTTCCTCAGTTACTGTAAAGAAAGTATGACATTTTGGTAAGGAAGCTCAGCCAGCCCTAAATAAAGAACGTGATTCCTCTTTGTAATACCAGATGCCCAAATAAAAATAGGAAAGCTTCTTCCACTTTCTTTTGAACTCTCTAAGTCCCTCTAAGATGTATCGTGCTAAAATTTCTAATAATACAAACCAGTGCTGCCTCAGAGACTCATTGAGTTCATCTTGGGGTAGAATTAATACGTAGTTCAACAGTAAATTTTCCCAGTGTAATTTATGTAAAATTGGAATAAATAGTTAACAATGTATAATCTTTTCAGTTCTGAAATTGCAAGAAGCAGTTCAGAACTGGATGAAAAAAAATAATTTCATCAATTATCGATCTGATCACCTGCAGGCACCACGTGTCTCATTCCTGTCGTTTCTTGCTCTTCTTTTATGACCCTCATTTAGGATACAAGGAGGAAGAATTCAGCTGGCCCTCATACCTGAAGGCGTGCAAGGCTCAAGCTGCTCCCAAATCACTGTTTGAAAACCAGAATGCAGTAAGTACTCACTTGTTACTAATGGTGTGGAAAGTTATCAGTGTGCTCATGCGTGGTAGAGACTCACCACATATTGAAGTGATGGTAACCCTGACACCTGAAATTTAAGGTAAAAATGTCTACAGCAAAGTCAGTAACAATCTCCAGTTCAGCTCTGCAATTCCGATCCATTAATTTTTTACTAATCTGTTTAAAAATCAGATCTGACACATTCAGCAGTGGTACATTAAAGGGAAGTTTAAGACTTGTTTTTAGTACTGTGTCTCGCACCATAACACTGTGGAACAAACATGGTCTTTCAGAGAGAGTATCTAAGACAGAGTTAAAACCAACATATTTAATTTTAACAGCATGTTTAGGGCTTTTTTATTACGTAAACCATGAGTGTCTGTGTTTGAACATCTCACATGTCAAGTAATTAGGCTGCTGCCATTCTGTTGGGGCAGCTAATTGGGAAACTTAGAGATGACATGAATATATTGATTGTGGACTCCAGGGAGATTTCTGGATTTATAGTATTTATCTTCAATTAAATGTCTTTCTCTACGTAGACAGTGATTCCATCGGGATTTCGAGTGGGGATGAAGCTGGAAGCCGTAGACAAGAAGAATCCTACTTTCATTTGTGTTGCTACGGTAACGGACATGGTGGACAATCGGTTTCTGGTTCATTTTGACAACTGGGATGAGAGCTACGACTACTGGTATGATGTTTTTGTTTTGTATCCTAGTGAGATGTAGCAGAAGTGTCTTAGCTTTAAGCACTATTTTCTGTGATACTTTCCAGACTGTGGATACAGTAACCCTACCAACTTTTGCTGGGCTTGTAATCATGGCCACCAAAGTATGTCTTGGTGGTTACTGGAGGAATCCAGTTTTCCACGTCAGGTTGCTCATCAAAAATTCCCAGGGATTGTGCTGGATGAGCGTTGGCATGTGCTGCTACATCTGGAGTTGTGGGTTGATCTCTCATTTTGGTTACACAGCATCTCCGAGGTTGGTATCTTTACAGATTCACAGATTCACAAATTCATCGTGGTTGGAAGGGACCTCTGAGATCATCGAGTCCACCCACAAAAAACTCAAAACAAATAAACAAAAAAAAAACCCCAAACCCCAACAACACACTCAACACCCCACCACATCACACCCACCCACAAACCAATAATCTTGGGCACTAGAGCCTGCCCTGAAGAGCCATGTCTACACGTTTCTTAAATACCTCCAGGGATGGTGACTCCACCACCTCCCTGGGCAGGCTGTTCCAGTGCCTTACCTCTCTCTCAGTAAAATAATTCTTCCTGATATCTAATCTAAACCTCCCCTGCCCCAACTTCAGACCATTTCCTCTGGTCCTGTCATTACTCCCTTGGGAGAAGAGGCCAATCCCCACCTCCTTTCAGGTAGTTGTAGAGGGCAATGAGGTCTCCCCTCAGTATGAAACCATAGTCGTTAACAGACCTGTGTTGAGTATGAGAACCTCCAAAGGACTAGAGCTACCTGAACATGAAAGTATGCACGAAAAGAGATCTAAACTTCACATTTGGAAATAAAGAAGATCTGGATTTTAAGAATCAAAAACCATGGAATGTCACTGTGTCTTTTCTACAGAGGTATTTTCAGAGCATAACTTCCCTAAAGGGATAATACGTGACCCAACTGTACTAGGAAAACCATTTCCTCTGCTCCTGTCATTATTCCCTTGGGAGAAGAGGCCAACCCCCACCTCTCTACAACCTCCTTTCAGGGAGTTGTAGAGGGCCATGAGGTCTCCCCTCAGCATAAAGGGAGCATAAAGACACTGAAAGAAGCTCAGTCTCAGCCTCTCCTCATACGACTTGTTCTCTAATCTTAGTGAAGATTATGCACCATGATATTGTGACTGATCGTACTGGCAGTTAAATTATTAAATTAAAAGAAAGGCTGCCTTTTTTCATAAGGTTCTTGATCCACTTAACGTTATTCAGACCAAACCTTAGTCATCTTCTGTAAGCCATCAGGATAGCGGCAAAACCTAGTTTTAGTCTCTTGTCTTCTACATTTCTCTGAAAATTGGGATCCTGCTCTCCTGACCAGCATTAAAGATGACCTTTCTGGACATTGTATGGTGGAGGGGCTTTCTGTATCTATATAGAAAATTCAGTGGATCAAGCAGGACATACTGGGAGCATAAAGACACTGAAGGAAGCTCAGGCTTTGGCTGTCACAGTGCAGGTTTGTATTTGCACTTGCATCTTCTTCTGGCAGATCATTTGGAGCAAAGTAATCTATCTTACATTCTTTGAAGACTAAGTTACTGCAGAAGAGGTAGAGCATTGTAAGCCTACGTCTTGGGTTCGGCAGCAGCAACTTAACTGTATTGCTGAGGCTGCAAAAATAAATGAAGAAAGTTTTCTTCATCTGTATTTGATGACTGCTTAGGCACTACCTCAGTGAGAATGATATAATCTATCATACAACTTCAAAACTTTGTGAGTCCATCTCTTGAAATAATAATTGTATGGGCTACGTGACAGATAAGCTGTAGGAGAGCTAAATTATTGAAGCAGCGGTCAACAGGCATTTCAGTGGAGTCAAGAACTGAATATCAAGATAATAAGCCATACAAGTCAAAGACCAGAAAGATTAATGATTATTTCCATGAAGAAGTAACATAGAACATATATTTCCTCTACAAAGCAACAGGAAACTGGGAACTGGGAAAAGCTATTCTGAATTTCCTAATATTTCAATGCTCACTAGTAACAGTTATGCCACTAATTAATAATGAGAACAGCTGTCAGGCAAAGCTTTTAGGGCAAACACAATGCAGTGTAACCTGTAATTAGTTCAGAGGTAGCATAGGTATCTCTCTAAAACACTGCCCTGTCTATAGCAGGGATACGCTGAATTTCAGGCTTGTTAATATTCCTATGTCAACAGGAATTTTGTCCACCAATCTTCTCAGAAGAGGGGCATAGGTATCTCTCTAAAACACTGCCCTGTGTATAGCAGGGATATGCTGAATTTCAGGCTTGTTAATATTCGAATATCAACAGGAATTTTGTCCACCAGTCTTCTCAGAAGAGGGAAAAGCAGGTTTTGACTACACAACCAGGCTTTACATTTTTGCAGTCGTAGTATTCCAAAGTGAGTTTTCTGAATTTCCTATGTAGAATACATGAAACAATACCTTCTTAAACGATGAGGGAAGATTAAAGTGGAAAGTTTATAGGTGTTTGAGAAAACACTGGAGCTGTATTTATACTGAAGCCAAGCTGAAGATTTGTGTTCTTTTGGTGAAATCCTAAAGTCCCTTTCTGGAAGGAGCAAGAATATGCTGCATGGAAAAAATACTGTGCATGGAAATGAAATTCAGAGGGGTGTTGCCAACCTCTCTGCATTGCTGTGACCGAGAATGGGAGTGAACAGAGGAGGAAGGGAAGAAAATGGGAGAAAAGAACATCAAATGAAAATAGCAGCGAGACATCTGACCAAAAGAGAGCCTGAAAATGCATCCTGAATGCATCCCACTTACTTTTTTAATTTTAGATACCAGGTTTGTAGGGGCCTTAAAATATCGTAGGTGCCTAAGTTTCCATCTAACAGGTGGTATCTAACTGAAAATGAAAAGTTCTGTTGGGATTACCCAGAGCAGAGCCTCACAGTTTCCCTCTGCCTGTGTGTAAACTTCAATCTCAGAATTATAATGAAGGAGAAATGATGTATTTAGTGTGTGTAGTTGATGACTTTCAAAGTATGTTTTTTTTCTGTGTACCTTTTGTGATTTGGTTAGTTTGAGTAGATAGAACTTCTTAATTAAGGTTAAAAATTCTTTCCTCTTGTTGAATAACTAAAAGACAGTTTTTACAGGACTTCTGGCAACAGAAGTCTATTCCCATCGTGTAAGAGTTTTTTTAGGCTTTCAGCCTGGAGATAGTCTTCATGGCTTTTCTCTGAGCATTAGAAAATATGTTAATGGTTGAAAATAAGTAACCTGGCTTCATTACTGCAGTAATGTAGTACTTACTACTGCAGTAAAGTTCTTTAATGCAGTAAAGTTCTTTAATGTCTGGTGGTGGTACTTTCAGTGGATTATAAATCCCATTACATTGTCCTTTGGCAGTGGCTTTTAGATGGAAGAAAAAGTTAAGAAAATGGACAGATTTAAGACTTTCCTTCAGGAAGGAAAATTTGACCTATACTATGCAAGCCATCAGGTCCTTTCCATCTGTCCCATCTCTTTTGATGAAACAAATAGCACTTCTTTGAGACCCAAAGCCATTCTCTCTGGGCGGAGTTTCCAAATGTTCTTAAGATTCACTGAATCTGGAAAGAGCACTTGGGAGTCTTGGTGTATGTGTGAACTATGAATTAACTACGGGTCCACTCTGGCTTTCAGTTCTCCATTCTCATGCATCTGTTGTACTTACACACAGATTTACATCACTTCAGCTTCCTAAATTTTTGGTGACAAATCCCAGACACAGCCAGAGCAGCCCAAACTCCCTAGGCCAGAGGACTCTGGCTGTCCCTGTCCATGGCTTGGTCTGAACTTCTCCTGCAGAGAAGGTGCTACAAGCTTTTGGGATGGACTTACCAGGAGTGTAAGAAAATGCTGTCTCATGTTTCACTCACTTGTCCGTCATGCAGAGAAAAAATGATTCTGAAGCACCTCGTGAAGACAAATCAATTTCAGATTTGCTGAACCATTTTCTGCTCCGTATGAGCTTTGGAACAGACTGGCTTGTGGTGTGAGACTAAGAAAGAGGCTAGTTCTGCTCTCTGCCAGCATCTGCTGCTTTGCCAACACCCAAGTCCTTAAAAGCTGTGCTCTGCTTGTTTCTTTTTTGAGATAATGAACTTTTCTCCACTCTCTCTTTGATAGAAACAATATTTTTGAAGGGGTTACATTATGCCAAAAAGAAGATAAAACAATCTTCAAGAACCTGGAGCCACAGCACATGTTTTTAACTATTTACATGGATAATGGACCAGTATCTGACCCTAAAGCTCTAAAATCTCCTGCAAATCACCATGCAGAAGTCTTACCTGGTTTCAAATAGAAAATATGGTGATGTGGCTTGCTATACCGCATCTGGATGCCTACCATAACTTCATGGGCCACGTTTTGGGAAGTCCTGACCTAAAATAATACCAGCTTTACACTTGTTGATGATGAAGTATTCTCACTTCTGCACTAGATGGGGCTGCAGGATGGTTTCTGTGTTTTTCTTCATTTGTGCATGGTTTGATGACTGGCATCTCACAATCAAGATGTTGTATAAGTGGCATTCTTGAGAGCATATTATTATTTATGGGTATAATGTGTGTATGAGTAGGTTTTTTTACAGATAACATTTTCATTACAAATTTTATCTACATTTAATAAAGGGAAAATCAAAATACCAAAAGGTTTGTTTTCCCAAAAGGGAAAATCAGAAATTATTTCAAACCAGAAAATGAGTATAACACATACAGATTATTTTAATGGAAATGGTGATGACTAAAGTCTGTCCAGATCTTCAGGTGAAGAATCAATGGGAAAATATTTTTCTAAAAGGATTGAATAGTCATTTTTTTTTAACAGCAACCATTATCATCTATCTCTCTTGATCTGAATTTAATGAGCAGTATCTATGAAACAGATTTTGGGGAAAAAATAACAGGACAGCTGAGAGTGACCAAGAGAAAAATACTGTCTTCTTCCAACCTCTACTGGTGCTTGGGGTTGTTTCTCCCCAGGATTATTTCTCCACCCTACACTTGCCCTTGTTGAATTTCATCAAGTTTTTCTCTGCCTTCCTGTCACCTTTAAGGTTAGGAAATGAGTGGAAGAGAGCTAGTGCACTGTAATACTGGATTTATCTAACTAAAGGAGAAATTAGGTGGTTACATGAGTTTCCAGCTAAACAGAGGCAAACAGTATGTTGGCACGGCGTGCGCAGTGCCATGCAGGGTAATGCAAGCTTTTTGTGTCAGCGGGATGTTCCTTACTCACCCTGACTGTATAACTGCTATCTACTGCTTTAAAAAGCACTGCTAATTGTTCAGCCAACTCAAAAACGATCATTAAGTATCGATGCAGACGTAGGGATGGGGCATGTTTCACAGCAGAGTCTGATGCCTTTTCACTTTTCCTGTGGATCAGTCTTACTTTTTGCCTTTCCTAGTAATGTCGAGTAATAATTACAGTGTGTACATAATATCTGTTATATTGTACATAATGTATTATGTTATTAAATAATACAACAATATGTAACAACATTAGGTAGGTTTGTATATATGTCGAGTAATAATTACAGTGTGTACATAATATCTCTTATATTGTACATAATGTATTATGTTATTAAATAATACAACAATATGTAACAAAATTAGGTAGTTTTGTATATAATAATTTAATAATACTGAAGTTTTAAACACTTTTTCTCTCATCTGCTTTTATATCAATCATGTTTTTGCGCTGTCTGTGATTTTGAACTTTTTTTTTTAATTGCTAATGGAAGTTTATAGCCAGAACCCACTTTCTTCTAAGCCTGGTGTGAGAGTGACCAGTAAGAGCAATCTCTCCTCTCTTCAGAGAGATGCCAGCACATAATAATTTAATAATACTGAAGTTTTAAACAGTTTTTCTCTCCTCTGCTTTTATATCAATCATGTTTTTGCACTGTCTGTGATTTTGAACTTTTTTTTTTTAATTGCTAATGGAAGTTTATAGCCAGAACCCACTTTCTTCTAAGCCTGGTGTGAGAGTGACCAGTAAGAGCAATCTCTCCTCTCTTCAGAGAGATGCCAGCACATCTCAGGTGTAGCTCACCCTGCCTCTGTCAGCCTCCTGTGGTTCTTGGGGCGCCCCACAGGCAACAGCACTCGTGCAAAATGTGACACACATGACATAAAATGTGGAAAGTTGTTAATCCCTGGAGTAAGAGAGGTTTTTTTCAAGCAATTTGCAGTCTTGGATCACTCATTAGTTGTGAATTCTTTCCACAGTTTGGCAACTTGTGGCCTAAAATTCTATTTTATTATTTTTGCTGACAGTATTTCTCAGCCTTATGCGCTGCTGGGTTATAATAACATGTTTATAGCTCCATTCAAACCGCTCAGAATCTGGTTTTGAATTTTCACTCGTTATTGACAGTGTATTCCAGTAATGCCTGATTTTCTATTCTGCCTCCAGGTGCAACTTGGATCATTAATCAAGGCCTCTAAGCTTTTGGTTTAAAGTTTGCAAAGCCCCACCTGGCTTTGATGGGATCGTTGTGTTCTTGAAACTAACATGTTTCTACTGAGGGTCTCTACTTTTAAATCTTTCAGGTCCTGCATTATAGCTGCTCAGTGGAGATCTACCACTGACTTAATGGACTTGATTTTTTTTTGATCTTCCAGTGAAATAGTAAATAAAGCTTTATGCTGCTTTAAGTAGTAATAAGTCTGTTAAATATGTTCATATCTTCAGGTTACATTTGCAGGTTAAGTGTAAGTTGAAGGTGTCATAGGATATTTGGAATTTGTTAAATCTTTTCCATATGTCTTGTTTTCCTAAGCATAATGGGTTGTCTGAAGAACTGCATTATCAAACCCCTTTCGTTTTTTTCTCCCCCTCCTCCAGGTGTGAGGCAGCAAGTCCACATATTCATCCGGTAGGATGGTGTAAAGAACATAAAAGAACTCTCATCACCCCACCAGGTTTGTATCTTATCACACATCTGAAAGGTTTTAGGAGGTTGTAATCCATTAGCAGCATTAAAGATTACAGTAAACTTACTGTTACTTCTCCTGAATTTTTCTTTCTGTAATTAGGAATTGATATTTGGGGAATTTTAATTTATTTTTTTTACATAACATAATATATTGAGAGTAGAATACATGAGGTGTATGCACATGTATGCTGCTTTAGTGAAGAGACATCCATCCATGAAAGATACCCCTTGGAATCTGAACAGGTTTATATTTTTGGCTGAATGTATTCACTTGGAAGACTCACATTGTGAAAATGCAGATAAAACAAATTCCAAGCGTGTGAGATTGTTGCATAAGAAAAAAACATCTTCATGGGAAGTAAATATGCAAGATGATGGGTTGGTGAGAAGATCACCGTGTGTGATGAAGGAACCAACTTGTAAGGGCTCTTTGGAAGGGAGGAAAACACAATGAGAGAGTTGATACAAAGGAATGAAAGTCTATTCATTAGGAGGAAATAAAAGACCACTCCTGTTTTTCAGGACTGTTGTGTGCAGCTGGATGATCTAAATGTCCTGTTGCAGAAATTGCCCTCTGTGGTCTGAGAACATGGAAAATTTGAATTGGTTAAAACCAACTTTGACAGAAATTCTAATAGTCAGCAATATGGAAAAGTCAGGAGGTTAATTACAGCCTATTATTCAGTGCAGTCCCTTTTAAAAGAAATCACAATTGGTTTTGTTCTGTTCTAGATAATGAATCATAATGTTTAAACTTCAAGTTAAACTTCAAGTGCAGATTAAAGACAAAGGACAGGCACTGCCTTCTCTTTAAGAGTAAGGCTGTCTTTGTTTCTTACATAAAGTGTTTGTAAACAGGACACTTTCTGAGAAAGGCAACATCATCTTTGATGATGCCTGTAAATTATTCTTACAGTAAATGACCTGGTTATTTTTTTAGAAATTTAGTTAAATTCACTAAAAGAATAGCAAGTAGTCAGGTATGCTCTGCTGTGGTACGAAGCTATCGCTGATTGGATTGTGTTAGTAAATTGCTGTTTAGAAAATACAGGATTACTCTTATAGTAAGTGAATTAATTTCTTGAATTTAGAGGACAGATTTTTCCAGTCCACATGATTTATATTCTCCTACCCAAAGTAATTGTGAGTTCCTCTGCTGGGCTACTCAGTATTGTGCATGAAAAGATTGTTGGGGTTTTTAACCTACATGATGAATGTGTCAAAGACAATGTAGAATAGCCTTTCTTGTAATTATTTTATAAATCTGAAGCATAAATCACAAGGGTATTGTAAAACTGTTAGGTATTCTGTAAATTAGACATCAGTTTTATTTTTTGCACTGAAGTGGTTAATTTTGCTCATATTTTTTCTGTGCCAGATTATCCACACGCTAAGCATTTTTCTTGGGAGAAGTATTTGGAAGAAACCAGTTCATTACCTGCACCTGCAAGGGCTTTTAAAGTGGTGAGAAAATACTTACCCTTTTTTCATAATTTTAAGTGCATATAATTAATTAGTGTAAGAAGACAATACATATGTGGTGTTCCTATGTTTCCAAATGTATCCAGTTAATTAGTTGCGTAATAGGTGGTTTATTTTTATGCGAGCCTGGAGTTCACTTAAAAATCAGATAATTATTCTTATAAACCATTAATACTTTATTATTTTAATCATTATAAATGAGATTAAATGCTACAAAATATTAATAATGAACGTAATTTGCCATAGGAAATTACTGCCTAATTATTAGAAATAATGAGATAGAAATACACATGTTCAAAATATGATGACTCAGTACCTATCTGTACGTTTTAAATGGTGAAATAAACACAGTGAGGATGTAAAAATGATTGTGGGAGGTCAGTCTGGTTGCCCATCAAGTCCATTGTCTCTGGCAGTAACTGAGAGAGATTGTGTATTTAATATCCTTCAGTTGACTTTTTCTTCTTTCTGTGACCGGGGCACATGGAGAGCATCCACATGGGTTGGATGGTGGACTGGTTGGATCCAAAAAGCATCCCTGTCAGGAGCCAGCATCAGATGCTGGTGGCTTCCAGCCCCTGAAGCTGGTTTGCCTCAGCTTTTCAGATCAGGGTGGCTAATTCTGAGTAACACTTTGCAAAGAGCTGGATTAATGAAAGCAGAAATGTGGTGTTTATAGCAGCTCCTGAGGTCTGTAGATCACCAGAGTTTATTACTGACCTGCAGTTTAGCACCCCAAAATGTGTCTTGCTTAATAATGTGTCTCAATCTTACATTCTCAGCAAGAATTAGGAAGGTGTTTGGTTCTATCTGAGGATATATGGCCCATGGCAAAACAGTGGAGGGCTGTGACCTTGACTACATGAAGCTAAAAGCAAATGTTTTCTATTTCTCTTGGAGCATCCATGATTTCATTTCTCCCCCTGGGATTGAGGGAAGAGCCTCGCAGGGCTCAGCAGTGGGAATGCAGGGTCCATCTGTACCAGGAGCCTGACAGGACCTGCCACCAACGGGCAGGCATTCAAGGAATTAAATTGGGAGAACACTAGTTGGCATGGCTCAACACCATATTAATGCTAACTGTGATAAACAATAAGAAAGCAGATTTAAAGAGAATAAAATGCGGGTTGTGTTGGAGTTTGGGTGAAGTCTTCCCGAGACCGTCACAGTATTTTATATTGCCTTATGGAAGAAAATTGAGTTCCTAAGCTGGAGCTGAGGAAAGAGAACCAATGGTGTTATGGAAGGTCTTACAGGGATAGACACGTTATTTTCCTATTAAATAAAAAAGCATAACATGTCTTATGCATATGGTCCTTTAAATGGAAATAAAATTTTTGCTCTAGATTTCATAGCTGTAGATGGCAAAGATAAAATCTGATACTCCTAACAACACCACCTTTATTGCCAAAACAGTATTACAAAACAGGTATTTAGTCCTGATTGTTCTGAGTGGGTGTTTACTGTTATGTCCTGGATTAGTTACGTTTTCAGTAGGAGACTGAAAAAGTGTTTGATCCAGAAAGCAAAAACATATACTAAAAAAACACTAATATGTTTCCTGTAGACAATTTCATAGAAGTTTCAGGCTGCTGGTATCTACTAGTCTGATACTCCTAACAACACCACCTTTATTGCCAAAACAGTATTACAAAACAGGTATTTAGTCCTGATTGTTCTGAGTGGGTGTTTACTGTTATGTCCTGGATTAGTTACGTTTTCAGTAGGAGACTGAAAAAGTGTTTGATCCAGAAAGCAAAAACATATACTAAAAAAACACTAATACGTTTCCTGTAGACAATTTCATAGATGTTTCAGGCTGCTGGTACCTACTACTTCATTCAATAACACATTGAAACTGTTAGGCTAAAGCTCTGGAAAAACTTTTCAAGATAATTTAGGAAAAAACCCAGCTGATATAAAATAAAGGTCCCTACTTAATTGCTTGTGGGCCTTGAATGGAGAACCTGCAATCCCACAGTAGTTACTGGTTTTTTTCCAGTTTAATAACACTGGTTTGAATGATCTTTTTATGCCTGGATTTGTTGGAGGAGGAGGGCGGATTTGAGAAAAAAATGGCAGAAAATTTTCTGTGGATTTTATGTATTTTACAATTGTGTGAGATTTTGGAGGTTTTCTTCTGTTTCACATAATATTGTTCTTCCTTTCCTAGAAACCTTCTCATGGCTTTCAGAAAAACATGAAACTTGAAGTAGTTGACAAGAGAAATCCAATATTTATCAGAGTAGCAACGATTGTAGATACTGATGACTATAGAATAAAAGTAAGTTTCTTTGTCTTACTGTACTATCCTGCTTGAGTGACTGAGGAGTATTTTGTAAAACCAAAAGCCTATAGTTGTAGAATTAAGCACCGGAAGAAATGAGTCACATTGCTGTGTCCTGCTAAGCTTACGCTCATCCTTTTCACTGATTAATATGCGTATAATTCCTTTGGAATGGGTTGTTCTATTATCCTCTATGATACATTTGCTGATGTAGGTAATTAGAGAGCAGAACTGAATATGTTCAAAAATTGCTTTGGGAGTAGTTGATGTAAAACAGTTGTCTATTCCATCAAGAAATGGGATGATTTAATACCAAGTGTCGAAGGGCTGCTGTGATATTTGTATTGGTGCCCATGAAATATTTGGCCGAGGTTAATTGAATCTGTCTCTATAAACTTCCAGGGAGAGGAGAGAGAGAGAGAAGGGAGATAAAAAGAAAAAAAAAAATGGACCCTGATATCTTGTGCCTTGTCAGTGATTTCTGCAATTCTGAAATTTATCCTAATGACGGACTTTAGATTGGATTAAACTGCAGTTTCTTAAAAATACATTATCTGAGATTTCCAGAAGTTGTATACTTGAATTATTTTTCCTTTATTGTACAAAACCACTTTACTCTCTGCAGCCCTTAACTGTTAGAAGGGCTAACCCGTTCCAGATACTCAGTTAGGTGGATATGAAAATACATTATCTGAGATTTCCAGAAGTTGTAGACTTTACTGTACAAAACCAGTTTACTCTCTGCAGCCCTTAACTGTTAAAAGGGCTAACACGTTCCAGATACCCAGTTAGGTGGATATTTGTGTTTGCAGTTTGCCCAGGTTTATTAGGCATAGATGGTATTTCAAGCAGGAAATGCCCTGACATTTCATTTTGAATCTGAATTAACTGATGGTGGAACTACTATCTTCACGCCTCCACATTTTCTATCTAAATTCTAAGTTGGTCATGCAAAAAAAACAATACAAAAAACCCTCCCTCTCCAGACTAATTTATTAAAATCACGGGATTTGTAGCTTCTAAGGTGGTAATTAGACTTAGTAGCATAAGTTGAAAGAGATCTGAGCTATTTACTAGTACAGAGGTCAAGTAAGATTTGAATATATTTAGCTTTCGCCTGGAAAAAATGCATGAATAGCCCATACTGGTGGTGTTCTGGGAAGTCACATGCTTCATTTTTCAGAAGTTTCAAGCCCTTATCCTGTATAGTCTGGTTTTACTAAAATTTTTACTTGTATGTTGGGGGGGTTTGTTTGTTTTTCATGGATAAATGCCATTTTTTTAGCCCTTTGCTTACTTCTCTGCTATTATTAAATCCTGTTCAAACAGGAGATTAAAAAATGTTTGGGTTTTGGGTTGGTTTTTTTTTGAGAGAGAAAAAAGGCAGAAATTATTGCTTAATTTAGGTATTAACATGAGAACTAAACTTGCCTGCTTTATTCCTGGGATTTGATCCTGATGAAACAGGACACAGTAAAGAACCAGATGACACCTCTCTCTTTGCTTCAGTGAGAGTATGTCTGGCCCTAAAAGCTCATGTACATCTATTTTTTTGTGTGACATCAATAGTTCTCTTAAAGTGACTTGGGGAAACTGATCTTACAGAGATTTTTTCTGGTATGATTTTTGTTGTTCTCCTTTTTTTTTATATTTCAGGTGCATTTCGATGGCTGGGATAGTATTTATGATTATTGGACTGATGTGGATAGCCCTGATATCCACCCTGCAGGCTGGTGTACGAAAACCGGGCACCCTCTTCAGCCCCCACTTAGTAAGAGAAATCACATTATAGTGTAACAATGGTAAAAGGCACATGCACTGGGCTATCTTTCCCCCTGCTAGAACCATCAAAGGAAGAGTGGCAACTAGGATATGCAAAATAATGTAAATGTGACATTTAGTGTGAAATCAGCAGTCAGTAATTAATCACTTTTTAATAGACAGCTTCATTGTTTATTTATTTATTTTTTATCAATGATCTGGATGAGGGGATCAAGTGAACCCTCAGTAAGTTTGCAGATGACACCAATTTGGGTGGGAGTGTCCAACTGCTGGAGGGTAGAAGGGGTCTACACAGGGATCTGGACAGGCTGGATGGATGGACTGAGGCCAAGGGGATGGGGTTCAACAAGGCCAAGTGCTTTGGTCAACAAGGTCCTGCCCTTGGGTCACACCAACCCCCTGCAGCGCTCCAGGCTGGGGGCAGAGGGGCTGGAGCTGCCCAGCAGAAAAGGAGCTGGGGGTGTTGGTGGCCTGTGGGCTGAACAGGAGCCAGCAGTGTGCCCAGGTGGCCAAGAAGGCCACCAGCATCCTGGCCTGTGTCAGGAACAGCGTGGGCAGTAGGACTCGGGAGGTGATCGTCCCCTTGTGCTGGGCACCTCGAGGTCTGTGTCCAGTTTTGGGGCCCTCACCACAAAAAAGCCATTGAGGGGCTGGAGCGGGTCCAGAGAAGGGCAACGGAGCTGGTGAGGGGTCTGGAGCACAAGTCTGGTGAGGAGCGGCTGAGGGAGCTGGGGGTGTTCAGCCTGGAGAAAAGGAGGCTGAGGGGAGACCTTCTGGCTCTCTCCAACTCCCTGAAAGGAGGGTGTAGCCAGGGGGGGTCGGTCTCTTCTCCCAAGGAACAGGCGATGGGACAAGAGGAAACGGCCCCAAGTAGCACCAGGGGAGGTTCAGATTGGAGATTAGGAACAATTTTGACCCAGAAAGGGTTGTCAAGCCTTGGAATGGGCTGCCCAGGGCAGTGGTGGAGTCCCCATCCCTGGAGGTATTGAAAAGCCGGGTTGACACAGTGCTTAGAGACATGGGTTAGTGATGGTTTTTATCAGAGTTAGGTTGATGGTTGGACTCGATGATCTGAAAGGTCCCTTCCAACCCAGATAATTCTATGATTCTACCAGTTTGCCCTCTCTGGGGTTTTGTTTTCCTTGTTGAAGAAGCAGGAGGTCTGTCACAAATAGGACTGCAAGAGACTTCTGTGGTGAAGGTCTCCCTGCCATGCCATTGTGTTTCTGGATAATGGTGGTGAAACCACTTGAGCCAAACTTTGAACAGATGATTTTTAACTGAGTGCTCTTCTCTGGGATTGTTTTCTATCGTGACTCTGAGGTGTGGTTTGCACAAGTGCTGAGTGCTCACCACTGTAGCAGAGATCAGAGAGAGCTGTGCTCGGAAAACAAGAAATGCTGAGCGGTGCCATGTACACTGAAAAAATCAAATGTGAAATAACTGGGATAAGGCACACACAGATTGTGCGAACGTGTTACCTGAACATCCCTGTGCCTCAGTTCAGTGTCTCTCAAATGTCAAGAAGAAATGTTTCCTGTCAAGAGCACGATCAGAGTTACATTTGTTAGTTTTCTGAGCGCAGTGCGGTGCTGACTGCCTGTTAGGAAGTTAATCATTCTGCCTTCAAAGCGGGGTCTGAACAGAGTGCTGTAAGTGCCAGAGAGCCAAGTGAGTCATGAGGAGGAGACAGGATGCTGCAGATCCGCTCCTCAAACCGAGATGTGTGTCCTCTGCATCCGGAGTGATGTCACAGCCCGCGGGGAAGAAGCAGCCTGTGGCCACAGAAAGAAAAGCTGTATCATATGGCAAAAGAGCTGAATAAGGCTGTAACATATCTACTACCTAAGACTGAAAAAAAATTATATATATATATATATACTCCTACCTAGGTGAAGATTATGGAGGAAGCTGGGGAGGGACTCCTTTGCCAGGAGTTGTAATGATAGGAGAAGGGGAAACGGTTTTAAATTGGAAGAAAAAAGATTCAGATTAGATCTCAGGAAGAAATTTTTTACTATGGGAGTGGTGAGACACTGGCCCAGGTTGCCCAGAGAAGCTGTGGCTGCCCCATCCCTGGAGGGGTTCAAGACCAGGCTGGATGTGGCCTTGAGCAACCTGGTCTGGTGGGAGGTGTCCCTGCCCAGGGCAGGGGGTTGGAACTGGATGATCTTTGAGGTCCCTTCCAACCCTAACCATTCTATGATTCTATGATTTAAAATACATATGTTCTTTTTTGTTGGAGACCTTAACAGTAACAAAATTCAGATTCCCATTACATACAACATGTCATCTCCTCAAGGTGGTGGCATAGGAGACACTGTTCATATCTTTTAGCTTGGTGGAGGTGACTTTCTGATATGAGTTAAGCTACAAAAACAAAGATGGACAATGTGACAGGAGGGAAAGTGACTTTCCATTAAATAGAAAAAAGAATAACTAACTGCACAAATACTGTTAAAATACCATTACTGAATAATATATTCTTTCAACAACATGACTTTATGTAATTACCATAGAGTATGGTATAGAACATAGAATACCATAAGAATATTAATATTGTTTCCAAGTAAGTTAAGGTTCATTTTGAGTTTTGTGAAAGGGTTCCAGAAGGAGGGAAGAAAATATTTTTGCAAGACACAATATTTCGGTAAGATAGTGCTTTTAATGATGTGGTCCAGATACCTGTCTTTAATACCAGAAGCTGTGTGTGAATGCTTCGTGCTGTTAGCGGTATTAGCCTTGAGTATTTTCTCTTAAGACGTAGTGAAGTTGTCATGATGGATTGTCACAGAATCACAGAGTGATACGGGGTTGGAAGGGACCTCTGGAGATCATCTCGTCCAACCCCCTGCCAGAGCAGGTCCACCCAGAGCAGGTCCCACAGGAACGTGTTCCAGGTGGGTTTGGAATGTCTCCAGAGAAGGAGACTCCACCACCTCTCTGGGCAGCCTCTGCCAGGGCTCTGCCACCCTCACAGGAAAGAAGTTCCTCCTCACGTTTAGGTGGAACTTCTTATGTTCAAGTTTGTGCCCGTTCCCTCTTGTCCTGTCCCTGGGCACCACTGAAAAAAGACTGGCCCCATCCTCCTGACACCCACCCTTTAAGTATTTATAGACATTGATCAGATCCCCCCTCAGTCTTCTCTTCTCCAGACTAAAAAGATGCATTATTACCTTTTTGATAGCAGTTAGGGAGTTAAAAGCCATATATTGGTGTTGATTTTAATACTGTTTCACAGCGACGCAAGCAGCAGCTTCTTGTATAAATATGAACAGCCAGTTGCAACTCTTCTAAGTTACATTTTTGGAGAGTTTGAGTTTTTTTGTAGTGAAAAGTGAACACTTGTAGGGAGGTAGTTTTTGCAAAAGCAAAGCATGAGTGAGGAAGGACTTCCCTTTACAAAAGCCTCCCTAATTATTTAACTCCTCTGACTTGTTACATTAGAGGCATTGATTTGCATAAAGGTAGAAAAGATAAAAATCTCTGTTCTCTCATCCATTACACCGTTTTAAAGCCTATCAAAGTCTTTGGACTAGAAGTCATGGTGTTGTAACATTGGCATAGGTGGAACATTTGGTAAAAAATCCTTTTGGACTCTCCCGATTATACATAATAATTCTCCATCTTTCACTATGCATCTCTGAGCAAGAATCTGTCTTTCATCTGGGAGAATTTATTTCAATAGGCCTTTTTAATGTCAGAATCGTTATCTCTAGGGGGAGATGCAAGTTCATGTACTTTCCAAGTGAAACCAGTGCTAGGGAGACAGTGCCTGATTGCAGATGTGCAGGAAGCATTCTCAGTATCATCTGCTGGAATAGGTCTCTCTCTCACTTGCGGTGAAATTATGGGTTATAAACTGTGTTTTTTGAGTGTCAAAGTTTATTTTGACAGCTACATGCTTTAATGTCTCTGCAGATGTTATTGTTACAGGCTGCTGAAAATCAGATAGACACATAAACTCAGATAAGTAAAAATGTCAAAAATCTCCTGGTGGGGATTGTTCTTTTTAGAAGTATTTTCAGCTTTTGTTTTCACGTCTCGTGCACTGGAAAACTTGAGCTAGAAATGGAGGTCAGTCCCTATAAGGAGCAGATCCCTGTCTTCAGGAACAGCAGGGTAGCTTCGTCTGTGCTCTTGCAGAACAACCAGGTTCCAGCTACACGTAGTTAATAGGAGAGAAATTTGAAGTCATACAGTTCCTCCAAGATTTGCATTCTTCACATAGATGTAGCTCTCCTGTAGAGGTTTACTCATACAGAATAAAGTTATTTCTCCAGTGGTTTAGGTTGTTTGAATCTCATTCATGCTTTTGTAGAATGCCTTTTGAAAGTACTTTAAGATTAGATTTTGTTAACTTATTTCTTCTTCATGTCTACTATGATACTCTGGCATTCCTGCATATTTATATAACTTTTAAAGGTTTGATACTTTTTTATAATCTCAAATTCCCCTGACATGCAGGTCCCTTGGAACTGGTGGAAGCTTTAGAGCACGGAGGGTGTCCCACGGCAGGATGTAAGGGAGTTGGACACATTAAAAGAGCAAGACATATCGGCCATCATAGGTACGTGCTGTGAAACTCTGAGTTTATTCATTCAGTTGAGTGATGTGTGCACATGGGGGTTTTTTTAATTGTTGTTCACAACAAAACAGATCCAAGATGGGGGAAAAAAAAATAATTAAATCTTGTAAACCTAAATATGCAATGATTTGGGTTGCCATGGTGAGTGTGCTGAAATAAACATTAGCAATCTGCAACTTCATTTCACCAGGGTGAGCTGAGATAGGATTTGTCGAACATCATTTTTTGTCACAATTGATAAATTCAGCTACTCTGTATTTTGTTCCTGGGAGGATTCCTCAGCTGCTTGTTCAGATTGCAAAATGTAACGGGCAAATATGTATAAAGCAATAACTTTGAACCTTTCGAAATATGAGGTCGCTAATTTTATTATAGCTTGGATGGTTTTGTTCTGTTTGGTTGGTAGGGGTGAGGATTTGCTTGTTGGCTTGGAAAAATGCTCAAAAGGAAATTCCCATTAACGTGTTCCCAAATGACAGCCTGAACAACGTGCTGTTAGTTTCAACCTAGGGTTTCTAAATAATGTCTTTCTTGTTGAATGTCTTTCGAAATATAATACAGAAATGTGGACATCCCAGGCTCTCCTGGAGGAGAGCTGATGTAGGGAGAGCAGTAGCATGGGAGAATGGAATGAGACAACAGTAAATGGGAAGCATTTCCTACGTCAAAAATTTTATTATTTTTAAAATATTTACACTATGAGGTGAATCCTGAGTATTTCACTAAGGGTTATAGAGTTAACGTAACATGTTGAGAATTAAGTATCATAAATATAATCCTATTACCTTTTTACAAACTAGAGCTTCCAGAAGTTTTCTTGGCATTTTTCTTGGCACATTCCTACAGTTCTCGAATGTCGTATCACTTTGTGCTTTCTCTTCTCCTATGATTAGAGTCTTGCTCTTTGGTTATTTGTCTATTCATGTTTTTTTAAGTGTATTATTAAAACTACCATGGTCCAAGAGTCTGCTCTGCAATCTTTTCATGTTTCTGGTGAGAGAATTATGTTCTGTTGACTAGAACTGAGCTACAAGGTTTTCATGGCATATGGACACGAGTTGAAGTCCTGACTCATCCCTAACGGAGATACCTGCCAGCAGAACTCACTGTGTTGTTACATGTTTAGTGTGCAAAAGTCATCTGCTGCTGCAAGAAGTTCTTTCCTCTCTGCAGCAGAGACATTGTGTTTGTGTTCTTAGGAGGCAGAAGAACTCCTGATGCTGACAGAAGCGTTATCTCCAGGAAGGGACGTGGCTGGGTTAACTCCAGTGACATGAACAGATTATTCTCACCCTTTTCCTTTTATCTTTTCTGTCCATGTCTTGTTTTTTTCCCTCTGGTTAAGGTTTTTTAGTTTTTCTACCTTCCCTTTTGAGAACCTTTGTTGCACTCACTCAGGAGAATAACTCCTTAAACAGTCAAGTTAGTACTTAAGAGGTTACTGTCCTTCAGTTGGTAACCTACTGCATTCATCTTTTTAGTGCCCTTCAAACGAGAAGGAAACAGGACTCACCTAAAAAGCTTCCTGGCTGCTTAGCTAAAAACCATTTTATATCGTATTCCAGTAGGCTGAGTCTTGTATGATTTATTAATCATCTGATCTGCAAGGCAATAAGTTCCAATTCAGAATATTATCTTCCTTACTCTGTCTCAGTCACTTAGATTCAGGTGAACATTCTTTGCCCAAGGCAGAAACTTTAAGAAAAAAAAAAAAAAGAAGAAAAAAGCCAGAAGTGAACATGTCAGAAAAGTTTTTAATTTATGATCCCTCTAAAGAAACATTGGCACAAAAACTTCTAAAGTTTCACAGGGAAGGGATGAGTAAGAGCTATATGTCTAGTTAGTTCATCTAGCCTTTGCTTTTATAACTAGATTTTTCCGTGGTATTTAAAGTTGTTATACTTACTCATCCTGACTATTAAGAAAAGAAATAAACTCCTGGCAATCTATTGTGTTTTTATTTTTACTACAGTCTTAGCAATCCTGTTATTTGCTCATTAACTGATACTTCTAGGGGATAAAAATATAACCAAAGAGATTCTGTTGATCATAAGACAGGTATTTGCTGTCTCATAGCAAATAAATTAACACCATTAAGTATCTTATTCACTCTCTGTATTAGTTTGCCTTCTGTGCTGATACTGTGGGTCTTCTCTTCAGCATTTCTGGGGAAAATAATGAGATTTGTTGTTTTTCTGGAGTCTACAGTCTTGAGGGTCCAGGTCAACCCAAAAATTCTAGCTTTGTACCATCACTTTTTTCCTGAATTAACAAAGACATTTTGAAGTCAGTATAATTATCCATGTCAGGTAGCAGTCCCTTGGCTCTTTTATCTTGGCAACCTTGCAGTGTATTTAACCATGCTTATCCTTTTTTTTTTCATGATGAGGTACACCATCTATCTACAGCATAAATGCCTGCGTGCAGAAAAGATGATAATTTAAAATGCTAAGTAGTTCTGAAATAATTTCGAGAGCTTGTTCCTTAGGAACCAGCTGAAAGCCTCGGTGATTAATTATGTAGTGGAGTTAAAGCATTTACTTTTTGGGAAAGGTGATGTTAATAAGGACTGGGTATCTATCACCAGTTGGTCTAGGGTTTTGTGCTGAGCAGCTGAAACTGCTGCTGATGGTGCAGGTTGGCAGCTTTGTGCAGATCCTCTGCATATTTATGACTCTGAATTGTACGTTCTCTGATGTTTAATGGGGGCAATAATTTTCAAATTTTCAACTATTAAATCTGTGGTGGTTTGGGCTGGGCTGACCACTAAAAACAAACGACAATCAGCAGTGTAAAGGGGTCAGTTATAAGTAGATCATTAGCGTTTTGGGTCAACTCACCACAGATAAAGGTTTTTACCAGAAACTTTACATGTGTTATGTGTAAGTTGAAGGGAACTGATGTGCTGTGGTGGAAGAGAACCTCAGCTCAAGAATATGGGACACCTCACCTCAGCAGGATGTCACATCTATCTGTGCAGTGTCTGCTGATTTTAATGCCAGTCCCAAGTTTCAATTCATCTTCTATGTAAGGCCATTGGCTCTAGCCAAATCTGCAATAAGCTACTGGAATCAGGTTTAGGCTGTTGGAGCAGCTTTCTCCTAAAAAAAGAACACTTTGATGATAAACATATGATGTAAATTGTGAAAAAGAACATTTGTAGTTAAAAATATAGTCATAACATCAACTGAAGTAAAGACATCACTTAAGAGAAGTCCAGCAGAAAAAAATAATACATCTCCCCCATGTTGTCAGGACCTTTTTGGTGGATGTTTCTTACTAATCACGTCTCACTACCAGTGGTCAGCTGGACAGAGGCTGCTCTAGGGAAAGTCTAATCCGTCACTTAGTCCAGTCTGTTTGTATAACCCATCCAGGAGGATGTTTTGAGCAAATTCGGGTGAGTTTTCCTGGAGCTGCCAAACAGCCTCACCCCCTGGCAGTGCCCAGCAATAACCTGCACCCCAAAGGTAATGGAAGAGCAATTTCCAACAAGTACAGCTGAACCAGGAGACTTGTCTGTGGCTTCACATGGGTTAAATACTCCACGCAGTCATAAAGACTAATAATCTACATTAAAAAATACTTTAGTGTTAACTTTCTTTTACCAAACAGAGTACTGCCTTAATGTTCTTCAGGTTAAGAGAGAATCCTGCTTATTTCTCCTTCTGATGTTAGGTGTAGAGCTGAGGCTGAGTGATCCAGTGGGACTCTGTGCTTCAGAAGCTTTGTGTACTACTACAAGATAGGAACATCTCCAGACATCTGGAAGACTGAAGTCCATGCCCACCCACCAGTAGCCTGGTTTATCCTACTGCCCTTTATCTTTAGAGAAGAAAGACGTGTGTGGAATCCTACCTAGAGATAGATCATGAGCGTGATAGAAGAGCACTTGCAAAATGTGCAGCCCTGTCAGGTGAAGAGTAGAGGTTTCCAATAGGGTACCTGTTGCTGCTGCTTCTGCCCCTTGCCATGCTCCCTGTGCCTCTGCCAGACCTTGGTACCCCCGAGTCAGGGACATCTGATCATTTGGGAAACTGGCTTCTGAAATTCTGCCATTTTCAAAATAGCTTGCTAAGGCAAACTGCAAGCTGGAGCAGAAATCCAGGTTTAAGTTGACAGAAGACTTAAAAATCCTGATTTCATATTAAATAACAGAAGCGTCAGGACTTCTGAGCCCTTGAGATGAGTTGTCTTTAAAACTTACAGTCCTGTATAAATCAAATTCTTCTATTATGTCGCAATAACAAGATTAATTTTTCACTCTTTGTAGTAAAGGAGTTAAACTGAACTGAAGGCTGGAGGCGCTGAGATTTAGGAGGATTTTGTGATTGACCCGAAGCCCCGTCACTCGTACACAGGTTCATTCACGCTGTGTTGTGTTGAAACAAAGCCAACAGTGGAAACCATGAGGGTTCCTTTTGTTGCCCCAAGTAACAGTAACATCAAAGGACTATCAAGGGGTTTTAAAAAAATGATACAGCAGCTCGAATAATTAATTAAAAAGAAAAGCTCATCTGTGTCTAGTGTTCTAAAGCATTATTAGCGTTACAGCTGTTGCTGACTGAAATTGTCATTCAACTTCTGCTTTTCCAGAAGATACTAAAGGAAAAGGCATATAAACAAGCAAATTCTAACGAAGGACTGAATTTTGAGTCCTTTTTCTTGATTTTTTTAAAATTTAAAACGTATTAATGGTGTTGGTAAACAGAAGACCTGCTGGAGATGAAGTTGTATTGTCAGATTTCATTGGGGTGTAAGGCTTGTTTAATAATGCACAACGGAAATTAAATACCACGAGTGGTGTTTAGTGTTTCCTTGAGACAAGGCTCCAACTGCTTAAAAACCCTCAGCCTCCCAACGCCCCTGTGAGCACTGGAAACCAAAAGAAGATTGTGTTCTTTGCCTTACAGCAATGGCAGAGTGGAGATTAACCAATATATTCCTGAGTTTCTGATAACTATATCTCATCACGGTAGTATGAGCTTGTCACAGCAAGAATTTAAATCCCACAAGCATTGGCTCCTTAAAACCTTGTTTTTTCTGAACAGAAGCCTGTATCTTTCATTTTGTAGTTCATTTGAAAAGGGAAAAAAAGACATCATTGTGATATAGATGCAGCAATGTAAAGAATTGAGAGTATAAAACAACTTCCCCTCTTTCCTGGCATTCCTCTTTTCTTCCCCATCTTTCACTTCATGTTGTTTTTTGCTCTTTTGAGACATTTGGCAGGGGCTAGTCCTAAAACAGACAAAAACAATAGGCTGAAAAAGAAATGTAAGTAGAGGTATATAAATAGATCGGAAAGAAAATGCCAAATGCTGCTTAAGAAAAATTAAGAAATAAAACTTTAATGCTCCAAATTAATTTTTTTCTTTGTATATTCTGTTCCCTGTCTTTAAAACTTTTTCATTAACAAAAAAATACCCTGTTTCAAGTGTCATGCTTTAGAGTCCAGCCACCCATTGGGCTGTATCTCATTCTGCTGTGTAAACTTCTGCTATAAAGATTCTCATGGCAAAAAACTTCAGTGCCTGTATCTCAGGGATGAGGCAGGTGTCTCATCTTCATTAGAAATGCAGAAATCACATTCTGCTGGCATGGTTTTCCTCCATAATTCAGGTTCAGTGCAGCTATATGAAGATTAAATAAACAAAGTTGGTTTTCACCAACTGATATAAAATCAGACACGCCGTCGGACTCCAGTGTCGATAACCCCAGCAGGGACTGACTCTGACTGATGGGGGGCCTCTGTAGCCTGAAGGAATTTTCTCCTTTTATGCTGGTGCTGAGAGAAATGTAAATTTCCACCAAGTTTTTGTTTATCTTGGTAAGACCAGAATTAGATTACTAATATTGGTCCAATCTCGTGATAGGAGTTGATTCATCCACACTGTGAATCCAAAGCTTCATCAGTTAGAGGAAAAGGAGAATGTGTGGCATATTTTGAATAAAAAGCCCTTTTGTTATTCTGTGCTTTGTAAAGCAAATGTGATAATCAAATCTGTTGTTTTTCTATTTAGTGTTTGTCATTTGGAGGTGGCAGGGCATATGGCTGGCAAGGTAGACTTGTTTATATTCGACAGTTCTGTTTGAAAATCATGCATGTAACAGTGAATCAAATAAACATTGCAGTGGGTTATGGAAAGGCAGATAGTTATATTCTTGAAAAAAAAAAAAATAAACAAAATCCAGGGCATGGGTTCTTTACATTTTCCCACCGTAGAGGTCCCTGGAATAATGCAGGTGAGTAGGAAAGTGTAATTTTGGATTATAGTTGGTGTCATGGCTCGTGAACCACAAATAATGTGTCATGTTGAGTACAGATTTGAAAGCTGAGTATGCTGTTATTCACTGTGGTGGCATATGTATACCTTTCAGAATTTGGGATATTGTCTTTGAAGTGTGAGTGTGCAGCCTGACTAATCCGTTGAACTTTGCGTCGCCTTCTTCTAAAGACAAAATCCTGGTTGTGTTGGTTGTGTTGCTGTTCTGCCCTGTCCCACCTCTTGTGGGAGGTACGACTTGAACAGTTGTTAGAGTCATATTCACAAGTCACTATCAAAGTGACTTGTTCACTGGTCCCTGGAATAATGCAGGTGAGTAGGAAAGTGTAATTTTGGATTATAGTTGGTGTCATGGCTCGTGAACCACAAATAATGTGTCATGTTGAGTACAGATTTGAAAGCTGAGTATGCTGTTATTCACTGTGGTGGCATATGTATACCTTTCAGAATTTGGGATATTGTCTTTGAAGTGTGAGTGTGCAGCCTGACTAATCCGTTGAACTTTGCGTCGCATTCTTCTAAAGACAAAATCCTGGTTGTGTTGGTTGTGTTGCTGTTCTGCCCTGTCCCACCTCTTGTGGGAGGTACGACTTGAACAGTTGTTAGAGTCATATTCACAAGTCACTATCAAAGCACAGTGTCAAGTTCTCTCTCTAGTTGGAGTGAAATAGGGGGCCCTGAATGACAGGAAAGCTATGTCCCAAGAAATGGGATTTGCTGCTTAAGAGGCTGTGAGCCATTCCTCATGCTGTGCCCTCTCTCTAGTTGGAGTGAAATAGGGGGTGCTGAATGACAGGAAAACGACGTCCCAAGACAATACCTCAAAATGGCATTTGGAAAGATGGGGCATTTGCTGCTTAAGAGGCTGTGGGCCATTCCTCACGCTGTGTGCCATCGCAAGGCAGCTTCTGTGAGGGCATTACATGATAGAAATACCCTCATTTGCAGGAAAAATTACCATGCGGGTATGATTTTGGATGGAGAGAGATGGGTATGTTCAAAGGCATCCTGTATATTACGTATAAAATACTACTAAAGGTATGAGAAATCAGGCTAAATATTCATCAAGCAATTTTCAAGAGTGTATGCTTTAATATAAATTAATATAATTTGTGTTACGTGAGTTGCTTTCAGAAGGAAATGGGAAGAACATTCAGGTTGAGGTTTTTCACCAGTGGGTTTATTAACATTTTAAAGTCTGAATACTCACTGTGGTTTTTTTCTAATCTCCATGCCATCTCATTTGAACTGGGTGCAGTCAATAAGTGTTCTGAGAGTAAGGAGATGTTTCTCTTCATCTTCCAGCGCCGTCATTCATCAAGCAGTTTTCAAGAATGTATGCTTTAATATAAATTAATATAATCTGTGTTACATGAGTTGCTGTCAGAAGGAAAGGGGAAGAACATTCAGGTTGAGGTTTTTCACCAGTGGGTTTATTAACATTTTAAAGTGTGAATACTTAGTGTGGTTTTTTCCTAATCTTTATGTTAACTGATTGCATCTGCTTCTAGACAACTGCTTTCTGATGCTATCTCATTTGAACTGAGTGCAGTCAATAAGTGTCTGAGGATAAGGAGATGTTTCTCTTCATCTTCCAGCGCCGTCAGCTGCCCGTACTCAGAGATGAACCTGAACAAGGAGAGCCTCTTGCCCGACCGGCTGAGCGGGGAGATGCCCGTGGCCAGCCCCATCCCCAGGAGCAGAAAAGTGGAACCAAGTGAAAGACCCACCTCTCCTGTAATCAAGTAATTGCAATTGAAGCGACGTCCCTGACTAACGGCAGAACTTTGTTTCAGTGTTAATTTGTAGCTGTGTGATGGCTGAGTGGTTTCAGAAGGACTTGCCTGTTAATCTGCATTTTCATTTACAGGGAAGAAATGGTTTCATCAGTGCTTATCGAAAAGGTCAGCGAGCTGTCAAAGACTGATACTGATTTTACTACGTCTGATTTAACAGGAGTTTGGTTTCATCTTCAGTGTAACTGTCTAGACTACTAATGGTGGTTAATTGGAATTTAAAATGGATTGTTTGCCAGTTGGTTTCACTTAAAATTATTTGTGTTTCTTCTGTTTGCTGGGGTGGCCCCAATAGATCTCAGGAAGAAATTTTTTACTATGAGGGTGGTGAGAGCCTGGCCCAGGTTGCCCAGAGAAGCTGTGGCTGCCCCATCCCTGGAGGGGTTCAAGGCCAGGCTGGATGGGGCTTGGAGCAACCTGGTCTGGTGGGAGGTGTCCCTGCCCAGGGCAGGGGGTTGGAACTGGATGATCTTCAAGGTCCCTTCCAACCCAAACCATTCTATGATTCTATGATTCTATGATTCTGTTGAGGTGGCTGTAGATTAATGTTGGTCTTTCAAGAATAGCCACTATAAATTCTGTTTTTATCATGGGGGTGGGGAATGGAATGACTGGGAGTGAGTTTTGCAAGAGTGACTGAAGTCTTCAGCTGAAACTTCTAGCAGGAGCAGTGGGAAAAAACAAAGGAATGTGATACCAAGATGATGATTTTATATCAGAAATTGTGGACACCGACTCCTGTGCTTATTTTGGGCTGTGGGGATATGTAGAGAATTTAAGAAGGAAAGCCGACTCCTGTGCTTATTTTGGGCTGTGGGGATACATAGAGAATTTAAGAAGGAAAGGAAAAGAAGAAAGGCTTTCCATTCTTTTCAAGGGCTACAGTGATGTAAATGTGAAAATGTGAATGGTCATAGAGAAGATTTCCAGTTCCCACTGGGGTAATGACCATGTATTTTCAATAGATGGTATTTTAAATGACATTCTTGGGGGCAGTTTCAGCTTCATGCTTCAAAAACCAAAATACTCAGGTGTCAAAGAGCGGGTTAAACAAAGTTTAGGGTTGTAGAAATCTGAAGTGACTTAATTACCCTCTGACAGGTAGCCCGGGTAGTGCCCCAGTGAAGCCAGTGACAGTGTGAGCAGTGTTCTCTGTGGCAGGAGCAGTGTCAAGTGCTACTTCTTTCATTGTCCCAATTAAGACACCACATAAAGTTTTGAATGGGTCGTGACTCCACAGCAGTGTATGAAGAGAGGGAAGGGACAGGAGGAAAATGATACTTCACACTTCTCTCCTCTTACACATATTTCATAGAATCATAGAATGGTTTGGGTTGGAAGGGACCTTAAAGATCATCCAGTTCCAACCCCCTGCCCTGGGCAGGGACACCTCCCACCAGCCCAGGTTGCTCCAAGCCCCATCCAGCCTGGCCTTGAACCCCTCCAGGGATGGGGCAGCCACAGCTTCTCTGGGCAACCTGGGCCAGGCTCTCACCACCCTCACACCAAACAAGTTCTTCCAGAGATCTCATCTAAATCTCCCCCCTTTCAGTTTAAAACCGTTACCCCTCGGTTTATCACTCCCCACTTTCAGTTTAAAACCATTACCCTTCGGTTTATCACTCCCCTCCCTGATCAAGAGTCCCTCCCCATCTCTCCTGTAGCCCCCTTTTTTGAAGTGGATAGCTTATTATCAAAAATAACATTAGGCCAGTTTAATTCCTGTTGAATTGCCAAAAATTGATTTCATGAGGAGGAGAGTTCTGAAAGTCCCAGGTATGCAATTTTGTTGGTGGCAAGTAAGAAACTTCTATTTCTTAAAACAAACAAAATTCTTGTGTTTCTTCAATTGCCCTGATGACTCTTTACCCACAGACAAAATAAGTTGAACAACTCAGGTGCTCCCGATTTTAAACGTTTTGTTAATTTGTTTTTAACAGCGACAGAAACTGCCCCAGCCCTGGTCATGGAGGTATGAAATCCTCAGCTCACAATCGATCATCTGGGAAAACTGTACCAGAAACAACGAAGGAGGAAGATGAGGAAAGTAAATCTCCTTGCAAGAACCCCCTCTTATGTGACGTGAAAGAAAAGAAGGGGCCTGGGTAACTATCGGTTCCTTTCAAAGTGTGAGTTGTTCAGAGATGGGCAGTTTAAAATGCAGATTACCAGGCAATGCAGCGCAGTGATTTGTCTACAAAACTCTTGGAAGCAGTGGGGGAAGACATGGAAGTTCTTCAGCTGTCCTTATGTTTAGAAATAAGGGAGGAAGGGAGTGTCACAATAGATTTAAGAAATAAGGAATGCATTTCAGAGAGGAGAGGAAAAATTCTAAAAGACAGAGAAATTATTGGAGGTTGGGATGCTTCTTCCCTGCCTCTGTGTACAAATATCTTACTGTATATTTAGAAATATTTTAGGCCTTCATAAAGATAATAATTGATAACGTGTGCTGTCTGTTCACCGTATTGAGTCATTTTGATGCAGGGAATAACAGCCTCGTGCCAACTTTGAACTCCCCAGAGGCTTTGCAGTTTGTATTTGAGCTGTTTGAATACACTGATGACCATCTGCATTTTATCATCCGGGTTTCCACATTCTTTATGTATCGAGCATAGTCAGGGAGGGAGGACGTTTCGTTGAATAAACTTCCTTTGAAAAAGGCATGGAAAATAGTGTTCACAACATTAGGTACATACGAACTGCTAGAGTTATAAAATATTGAGCATCTGGTTACTGCAATACCCAGTGGAGCTTTTTAGATGTATATTCAAAGTACACATGCATAATTGAAGACATAGATGTGTATACTTGTGTGCTCTTCAGCTGCTGAGCTCATAGTGTGGATTTAATTATGTTTGACTTCAGTACAGTTCTCTAGACCTTCATATTCCAGGTAATCTTTTCTTTCATAGAAGTCCTTAATTGAGGAACCAACCACATCTGAAGCCAAACATGAGATTAATTTTGTTGTGTTAAATCTAAGTGGTACTCACCTAATTTCCAGTTCCATTTACTCTTTTTTTGTTTTCTTTTTTTATTTTAATTTTTTTAATTTTATAACTAGCAAGAGGTATTGGTGCATACAAACAGGTCTACTAGAAAAATTTGGTTTGCAAAAATATGTGTGTAAAAAATGCACTCTGTCCCTCTGGAATGTTCCTGAGGTGAAAATTCAGGATAAAACTGATATGCCTACAGCATATTAAAGTGTAATTTTGAAAATATCTTTATACTATCTTCAGAGTAACAAAAGAATTTCACTATAATAGGAATTCCATTCTGGTAATATTTACAATTAAGGAAGGTGAACAGTCACGCTTGGGAATGAAATGGTACTGCCTCTTAAAAGAAAATTCAATTTATCTTCCAGCCTCTATCCCCAAACCTTCAGTTCCTGATACTAACTTGTATTTAACTAGTGAGATACAATTTCTGGCTGTATGTTGCTATGGAAATTGTCCTGAAGAAAACAGGAAGATACATATTTCCTCAGAGGTTTTGGTGATCTTCCTTATGCTGAATTACAGTAATCATTGACTTTGGCTTTGGAATTAATTGCACTACTTTGTCCCAGCTTTAGAAATTTTCCGTGTTCGTGGAGGTTAAGAAATGAATTTTTAAGTATGTAAATGCAGGTGATATTTCTGAGGATGGCACAGCTTCTTATACCATTATTATTTGTGCCTTCCCATACTAAAAAGGCTGGATTTTCTGATTTTCTTCTATCCATTTTGCACCATTAATAGTGTGTTAAATATATTTCTGTTGATATTGAACTTGCAGCTCCTAGCTGATTTATTCCCAAACGCTTACGTGTTTCTAATAGTTTTAAGTAGTATTAAATATATAAATTGTATTTAATAGTAGAAATGTAAACAGTTGAATTGATCAGGTCTGTTACTCTATGGATTTGTGTTTTGAGGTTAACTAATCTTGATGTCTAATGAGGTGGTAGCTCTTGTTTGGCTTTTTATCTGCATTTGGGACATGTAAAGGGGTTCCTGTTGGCTGCTTCTCTGGTAGATAGTAAAGCATGTTCATCTAGTTGGCTTTTTCGTAGTCTTGACTTCAAGATCATTCTGCCTGGTGCCTAATTGTAGAAATTTGTAGAAAATATTAGTTATCTACTTAGTATCTCTGAGAGCTCTGCATCTGTGAGGGTTTAGTAAGAATTGGCCAAAGTGTTCTCAATTTCTTTAAAGCAGAAAGAAATAAATATACACACAATGTCAGCAAGTTCATTTGTGTATTTTCCAGTTTCAGTTACGAAGTCAAGTGTGTTGATCTGATTTACATGATCTTAGTTTAGACTTCTCTTGGGCCTTCATTGCAGAATTCATGTCTGTAGTCATGCCATCTGTGTAAGTCAGAAATTACATCCTCTCCTTTTTTTTTTTTTATAATTTTATGATGATACAACATCATTTGTGTGGGAATCCTGGTGTGTTAATAGCATTGTTAGCAAGAGTTGTCATCATGCTTAGTGATTTTTATAAGTTATTAATAAAAATGAACATCTTCTTTTCCTCAGTGGAGTGCTACAGACAAAGGACTCCATAAAGATCAAAGAGTGTGAAGAAGAGGAGACAGAAAGTAAGCTGCTCATTTCAAATGAAATTAAAGGTAAATTGGCAGTACTTCATTTGTTTTGTACAAAAACATGCAGAACTAAAGGAGCGTGATATTCCTTGAAATTCTTCACGAAACTGCATTGAGACATATTTTCCACATTCACTATTGGTGTCCAAAAACTTCTTGACAGCAACACTTTCAACACTGTGTTTCTTTCTCCTGTAATCATCAAAGGCTTTGCCAAGGACTTTGTCACAGTTGTAAAGATGAGTGCAAAATGAAAACTGGTAGGAAAAGTTCTGTTTCAAGAATATTTTTCCACAGACTTTTAAAAATAGGTAATTAAACCAGTCTGAGTTGTAAAGGTATAATGTTTGCTTATTGTTTTTAAAGTGTATTGAAAGAAAGTTAAAGCATTTACACGTTACAGGCAGAATGCAAATTTAAGGTGACTTATTCAACCCAAGCTCAGTCTGTTGTGGAGTGTGATGCTTCCCAGCAGCCCATCTGCAGAATGGGCCCTGCCTTTTCCATGAGTGTTACAGAGGGATGGCTAAAATTCCCACTTCACTGCAAAACTGGAGACAGTCCAGCAGAAGGCCACCAAGAGGATTAGGTGATTGAAGGACTTGACATATGAAAAAAAGTTGAAGAAAACCAGAGATTTTTGGTCATTTGAAGTATTTTGTTTCAGCAGAATGGAAACATACGGTTTTGATGTTGATTTTGCTTTATATAACAAAATTTGAAATCAAATAGATAGGAGCATTTTAAATTGCCTGCATCCTTTATTTTTTATTCTAAGAAAACTGGCCTGATTTTGTGAAGTGTTTTGAGTTTGGCAGAACTATTTGGATAAAGTTTCACAAACAATCTCTGCTTACAGGATACGTTTGTGTAGAATTGTGCATAATCGGATTTATAAAGCTATAACACTTTATGTTATTGTTTAACAAATTTACCCTTTTAATCTTCTTTTTATACACATCATCTTGTGCATTTACTGCTTAAATGTGCCATAATATTTAATCTTTAGGATGCAAATGGATCAGTGAGTTCTTGCTATCGTGGTCACGGAAAGCTCAAGCTTAAATAATTGCAGTTGTGTTGACTTTTGTGAACTGTGACTGCTGGTACCTGTGCTTATTGCCCTATTTTTTCTGCATGTCACTTCAATTATTATTCTTCAACCTACTTTTGCTGTACTTTCTCGACCAGTTCTCTACTGTCCATCTTACCTGTAAGGCAGAGAAAACACCAACTGAGAAGCAGAGGCGTTTTTTGCCGGCATCCTCAAAGGCATTAGGCACTGCATTCCTTTCTGGGGCAGTAATGTGAATAGATGGAGTACAAAGTTTGGCTTTATGTCACCTTAGTCAACTTATTTCCTGCTGGAATTGTTAGGATTTGACACACCTGTAAACTGTTGCAAATGGAGATACATGGGATAGATGGGTCACCTTGGCCATCGTTGCTGCTACTCGCTGTGCATGTACCCGTGTGCTCTTATATCTATATACATTTCCACACGTGCAAAAATGGAGTGCAGTTTTTGCTTGGAATTTTCTGCACACGGTATTGTCATGTGCTGTTTCTTTTACAGTATCAGTGTATTACATGCTCTGTGAATGGAAAACACAAAAAGCTAAAAACTTGTCTTTTCAACTCTTAAGAAAGACAAAATCAGGGGATAAGGATGGGGAAGGGATTACAAGGAACAAAAAGAGATACATTATTTAGTAAAATAGGCTTTACATTGCTTGTTGCCTTAAAAGGCTCCTTCCTTTCTCACTGAGATTTTTAGTAGTAGTAGAAGCTCTAAGGAGCATTTGAAGAACAACAGTGAAGTGTAAACAGGCATGTAGGGAACTCACTTCCAAGAGTAAGAGTATGATGGTAGGAAAAAAATTAAGGGCTGAAAATTTAATCATTGGGCTGACAATAAATGGCTTAAGAGGAAACTTCTGGATAATTACAAGCTGCCCAGAGAGGTGGTGGAGTCTCCTTCTCTGGAGACATTCAAACCCCACCTGGACACGTTCCTGTGCAACCTGCTCTGGGTGGACCCACTTTGGCGGGGGGGTTGGACTGGATGATCTCCAGAGGTCCCTTCCAACCCCATATGATTCTATGATAATGGACTTTGATATAAAATGAGGATAAGTCTTGAAAGTAACAAAAATGTAAGCTGGAGGAGCAGAAAAATACAAGCAAGTGTAATCACATCCTATATTGGCCACATTATGTATTCTAGACCGTCCCACTGTGCTGGCAAAATATCTATAATAGGAATTTGTGCCCTAGTTATTGGGCACAAACGTATGAAAACTAGAACAGTAAGGGCAGGAAGAACTGTGAATAATAGCAACTTCCCAAAAATGGAAATAGAGTGGAGCTATAATAGAAGTGAGCGTTCCAAACAAAAATAGCGCAAGGATTTGGGATTGCATGAAGCCATGTTAGTAAGGAATTTGAAGCATAGGTTCTTTGTTGGCTGTTCCATTCAGAAATGAATTCCAGAAGTTTTTTCTACAGTTTTACTGAGCAACTGGGAAGGATTCAGGGCTGAGTTCACAGCAGGCGTGTTGCTGTTGCATTTGCGATGGATCTAAATGAACGTAGATGTCTTACGCGGTTTGACATCATTGGCGGCCATCCTCTTCACTCCTTCCTCCCACACACATCTGCAACTGCTGCTGCTCTGCAGACAGCAGCCACCACAGCAGCACGGGGCTGATGGCCCCCTCCCCATCCCTACGTCACCTTCAAGGCCGGTGGGATGGCAGCTCATCCCTTCCATTACGGATAAACGCGATAAAAAGGGAAACGACCTTGTAAAAAAAGACCCCACAGCGGCACGGAGGAGTTAAATGTTATTTTTCCAAATAAAACATTGAGTTAAAGTGGGAAGAGGGAATTTGCAGACGCTTGTGGGTTTTCCTCAGAAGAACTGAAAAACATTTTGTCATGGATGAGGCATAAATGTTGTGTGGGCTGGAGCTGTACGGCTGATTCACGTGGAATTTTGTAGCAGCGCAGTTCTGCTTGTCGGGGAGTTACAACAGCTCAGCCCTGGAATTAAGTTAGTTCTTGTACCACTCGACGACTATTAAATGTGGGTGTGATTTATTGTATCAAAATATTTAAAATTATTTGCCCTGTAGTGTGGTGTGCCAGCAGTTACGTTGGCAGAGAATTGTGTTGTGTCGGAAGAGACTTTTTCCATGTAAGAGTCGTTACATTTATATAGAGCCAGTATAATCACAGAGGTAGTGGTGGAAAAACAGTCATGGTGGTCACAGAATCACAGAATCTTCTGGGTTGGAGGGGACCTCTAAGATCATCTTGTCCAACCGTCAACCTAACTGACAAAAATAGACACCCACACAACAAACAAGAAGCATCGCCATCACTAAACCAGACCTCCCAGCACTACATCAACCTCTCTTTTGAACACCTCCAGGGATGGTGCCTCAACCACCTCCCTGGGCAGCCCATTCCAATGGCTGATGACCCTTTCAGTGAAAAAATTTTTCCTAATATCCAGCCTGAACCTCCCCTGGGGCAACTTGAGGCCATTTCCTCTCGTCCTGTCGCCTGTGACTTGGGAGAAGAGACCGACCCCCATCTCTCTACACCCTCCTTTCAGGGAGTTGGAGAGAGCAATAAGGTCTCCCCTCAGCCTCCTCTTTTCCAGGCTGAATAACCCCAGCTCCCTCAGCCTCTCCTCTTAAGACTTGTGCTCCAGACCCCTCACCCCTCACCTCTGGTTCTGTAAAGGCAAAACTGTACAGCTCATAAGGAGACCCGTATATATCAATAGAAATGAGTGTGCTTTCACTGTGACTGATCTCATCACTGATTTAATGCTTGTTTGTTGCTTCCTGTTGTTGAAGACGTTGAAGAACCCAACACACAGAGGCTTCTTTCTCAACCAGTTCTTGTGTCTTCCAAGCTGCAAATCCCTGGCCTGCCCTTGCGCTGGGAACAGCAGAGCAAGCTCCTTCCAAGCGTAGCCGGGATCCCAGCCAGTAAAGTTTCCAAGTGGAGCACGGATGAGGTAGGTCTCCCCTGTATCTTCTGTCTCACCACCAGCTCCCTTGAAGGTTTGGTTGATTCAGAGCTTTAAATTAAGCCCATAAATGAACAATAACGCAGAGGATTAGAGTCAGCCTGACCTAATGTTACAGTCCCCAAAACCCCTGTTCAGCTGCCATCCAGCCCTAGAAGCAATAAGTATTGATTCATACCTGTATAGATAGAGATAAATATATATGTCTGCATATATATTCATTGGGCTTAAAAAAGGAAAGAAAAATGCTAAATGTATGTGGCAGATTGAATGCTTGAGGTCTGCGCTAGTAACATTTAGTACCCACACAAACATTTTGGAAGAATGATTTAGGGGTCAGCATGGACCAAGGAGCTATTCCTGGTGCATGGTTTGGAGGTGGCACCCTGGTCTTGGGGGTTAGAACATAGTGCAGAGAGGAACGGGGTGCACATGGCCAGGCCATGACACCTGATTTCAAGGTTAGAGCCCCATCACTGTTCAAGTATGTAACAACACATGAACAGACAGGGTCTAGTCCCTGCTTTACTTTCAGAAGTACCTATAATTAAGGCAGTTTTCTGCAGCTGGGACACTCAGGTCTCCTCTAATCAGAGAAAAAGACAAGCATGAACTTTGAAAAAGTTTTGAAAAAGATTTGGTAATCTCTGTGTAAAGAATAAAGAAGAGGAAGGCACCGTTTTGGTTCCTGAGAAATGATTCACCAAGAGAAGGTTCATGGTTCTGGGTTCCGCGTGGATACAATAACCTGAGAATAACCTATTATTTTGAGGGAGTAGCCATATCCCACTCTTAGATGTCCTGTGGACAGGAGTGGCATGTGATCTTTCAGTTTGCAGATTTTGTGAATCCTGTCCTTAAACACACAGCTGCGTGATCCCACCCACTTAGAGAAGGTGAAATACCTAATATGAGGCTGGAAAAGCAATAGCTAAAAAACTTCAGTCATTGTCAGCCTTTAAGACTTCTTTGAGAAAACAGTAGTCTTACTAAATCTTTTGTTTTACACTTTGGTGACAGGTCTCTGAATTTATACGGAGTTTACCAGGATGCGAAGAACATGGCAAGGTGTTTAAAGATGAGGTGGGTGAATTTTATTTCAAAAAGACACGGAGTATGGAAGTTGGTGAAGAGATTAATTTTATTAAAAATACATACGAAGTAGTAGGATGGAGTATATTTTTGAATTCAGACACAAATGTATGGGAGATTAGGTTGGTTTGCAGGTCATGGAGTGGGAGGGAAGTAAAGAAGATAAAACTAGCAAGTGTCAGCCTGGTCTCTCGAGCTTCTCTAGCTTTGTTACTGCAACTGAAATTGCTTAGAACCTAAAATAGAAGAGGAGGAACTTCATGATTTACTACTGCTCCCTCTTAATATGCTTTGAGGAAATTTGTAAGTATGTTCTTTTAGTTCTGCAGGGTGTTAATAAGTAAAATAAAGCAGAGCAGTGGTTCAAGGTAACCACCTGGTAAAACTTTTTGCATCTTGTCTGATTGCACTTAGTCCTTGATGCCCTTCCTCCCCATACAGCCAGTTCAGGAAAGTGATTTGAGGGAGTGGGAAGTGAGAAGATCTGAAGGCATCTGATGAGGTTCCAAGGAGCGTATACTCACTTTGTGACCATGTCAGGCCTGCATTTCTGCTGTCTGAAAAGATTGTTGTGCCAAGAGTCAATGGGTCAGTGGTCGTGATCTCTCCCTGCCGAAATTACCTTTTACCTACTTCTCCTCTAATCTTGGCAGTTCCAGGTGGTTTTCTTGGTTTGCTGACCAGGCTGACAGTTCATCACCCTCTTGATAGAAATATCCTGCTTATTAATGCAGCTACTTTGTCTAGTAGTTGCTTAATTCAATCTTAGGTAAATCATGTCTAGTTACTATTTCTCTATAATTAATGAAATATTGTTGGGGCTGTATAGATGACGTTTAGCAGCAGTGGCAGGTTCCTCAGTTCCAGGTGGTTTTCTTGGTTTGCTGACCAGGCTGACAGTTCATCACCCTCTTGATAGAAATATCCTGCTTATTAATGCAGCTACTTTGTCTAGTAGTTGCTTAATTCAATCTTAGGTAAATCATGTCTAGTTACTATTTCTCTATAATTAATGAAATATTGTTGGGGCTGTATAGATGACGTTTAGCAGCAGTGGCAGGTTCCTCTGGTTGCTTCGATTACATGTTACATTTCATTTTTCAAGTTAATACCAATTTTACTACAACAGAATGAGTAGAAAGTGCTTGTGGTGGCTGCGTGATGCTGTTCTCACCACACTGTTCCTCGACGTACAGTGCTGGGATGTACCTTGCAGGCTTCCTCTGCAGCCTCTCTGATTCAGAAAGCTTGTCTTCTAGTCCTACAGAAACTTAATTACACTGTTTTTATCTCAAATTAGTGTCTTTAAGCCTAAGCAGCGCTCTTGATTTAAAGTCCTACAGAAACTTAATTACACTGTTTTTTATCTCAAATTAGTATCTTTAAGCCTAAGCAGTGCTCTTGATTTAGCAGCAGTTGGCTTTTAGGCTTAGTTATCCTGCATATGTTACACTGAAAACTTAATAGTGACCTGAAGTTGCTTAGTTATCCTGCATATGTTACACTGAAAAATTAATAGATAAGTGACCAGAAGTTTACCCAAGAAGTGTTGGCCCTGTTGAAACCCTTGGAATCAAGAACCTTGTGGCTCTTCATGCTTGGATTTAGCGCTTCTGCTGGTGGGAGAATATCCACTCGTGACGTTTATTAAAATAGCAACACTGCAAAGCTGGCAGGAAAAATACTCAGTGTTTTGAAAAGTTGTGCTTGTGTCAAAGAGGCAGTTTTGTGGAGCCCGGCCCCTGTTTACATCTGGGACCAAATGAGTTTTAATTTGCTGTTTAATGAACAGAAAGGGGTGGTCTGAAGGGGGTTCCAGTTCTGTAGTTGGGAGTGAAATCCAGAAGCTTTCTTACGGAGGCTTGTATAAAAAGAGTAGCTAAGATGTTAAAAAGCATTCATGTGCTGCAGTACAGTTAAATCCTACTTAATTTACCCATTTTACTTTTCAGTAGCTTTTACTTGATACTGCTGGTATGGAAATAAGAACTGGTTACCTAAAAATTAGCCAGAGGGTTGCTTTCAAGCAGAAAGAAGATCATCAGGCCGTTCTTTTGGAGTAGCTGATCTGCCTGAAAGGGTGAAATCAAAGCTGTCCTGAAAGCGTTTGGAAGTGTTTGTGTTCAGCCATTCCTTTACATGCTCTGAAATTGCTGGGAATTATCTTTTCATGTTTTCAGAAACATCTATCCTGGAAACATCGATACTGCTGCACTGTCAGACCTATTAATAGCTCTGTGTGGTTTTGTGGTTTTTTTTTTTTTTCTTTTCCAGCAAATTGACGGAGAAGCATTTCTACTAATGACCCAATCAGACATAGTCAAAATAATGAGCATTAAACTGGGACCAGCCCTAAAAATCTTTAATTCCATTCTGATGTTCAAAGCGGCAGAGAAAAACTCGCACAATGAACTCTGAAGAGAATGGAAAACGCGTAGGAGCCGCGGCTTTCTCCACGGGAGCTCATCTTTTATTCAAAGCACAAGGACTTGCTAGAACTGTGGAGTAAGGACTCTCAGAAAGGAAGAAACCAGTTGAGCACTGGTGGACTAATTCTGTTCCAGTAGAGCCAGTACACACCGGGAAGTGTTGGAGCTTTTGGGAAGGTACTGTGGAACAAACGAGTCAGCTAGTCTTAATTACCAAACTAATGGCCCTCATCCTCCCTGGATGGTCGTTAGGATCTCTGACTTTCTCTGGGCATCAAGAAAACCTTCATTCATTATTTATGCTGTATTATAGAAGGGAATGTTAATATTTTCTAAGAATTCTTGAATCCTACTTCATGTACCCATTTTACTTTTCAGGAGCTTTGACTTCATACTATCCAAATAAAAAAGCAATTAGCCGAAAATTAGGCTACAGGTAGCCAGAGGAGACTGTTACGGCTAATTCCTATTTGTGCCATAGTTTAAAAATGAAACACTTAATGTTACATATGTGACACTTTATGCTATAGCATATAACTTTACAGATTATAAAGCTGTCTGTTTGCTTGTAAGAAAACAAAACAAACCTTGTTGGGGTTGAAAATTATAATGCTTTTTTGATAACTGAATGTTTTTACTTTTGCACGGTTACAAAAACGTTCTGTGAGTTTTTCCACCAGCATCTTTAATGTATTTTACCAAAAGACCAGTATAGAGAAGGCTGCAACTGAAAAATAAAAAGTTTGACTTCATAGAAGACTTTTTGTTTATGCTGCACAATAGAGTCCCAGCCTTTGACGTGGGAGTCTGCTACCTTCCTTCTGCACACGAAGGATAACACGTGTATTTTGAGGTAAGGATATTAGCAAAAAAAAAAAGGAAGTATATTCATCCATGTCTGCACATTCCAGTCTCCAGTAGAGTAACCACAGGTGTGGAGAAAAAGTGTGCTAAAGCTGGGACTGCTGCTCTGGCTTCTTATTCCACCTAGGTTTGTTTTCCCCATGGTGGGAGAACTATTTCACCCACCACTTCCAGTTGGAAAGTGTGATTTATAAATGAATAAGGCATAGGGGGGAAGACAGCACAGAGGAAAAGGATACCTAAGGTCATTAGCAGGCTGGAGATGCCACCAGCAGGTACTTGGGTGAGGCAGCCTTCTCCCTTGGAGGATTTTTCTAACCATTTGTCAGGGAAAGTCGTTGCACTTGGTAGATATACGGAAGGTGTAAACCAGATGCACTTTAAATGGGAGGAAGCCTGGCTGCCTGTGTGCTGGGGACTGGTGGAGAACGTTGCTTTTTGCAAGAAGAGAGGGAAGAGTTGGCTGGAGGTTCTTGGCAGCCCTTCTTTTCTTCTCAGCGCCGTGGTGGGCAGTTGAGAGCTGAGAACAAACAGAGCATTCCCGTTGCACAGAGCTGGGGGAATTTTTACATCTTCCCATGTAAAAATTCTGGGTTGTTCCGTGGCTGGAGCTCCTTCAGGTTTGAAGTGCTCTCCGTGTCCCATCCCGTAGGTGACTGCAGTGACACGAGGTGAAACAGGGTCGGTGTGAAGTTAAGTTGCATTTGAGCTGTTAATTTCCTTCCATAGCATTGCGTAAATGATATTTTTTACATTTTTGTTCGATATTTGTACATTCAAATTGCACTCTTCTTGTACTACGATACAAATAAAACCTGAGCTGGAGCCGTCTGTTCCCTTTGTGTGTGCCCAGGATTCTGGGATCAACCCGGCTGTTCCTGGGGGTGGTGTGGGGTAATTCCTCACCAGAGCTCCCTGTGGCTGTGAGTTTAAAACAGCAACTTGGCTTCTGCCACCTGCCCTCTCCCTAAACACTTACTTCTAAGCCTGTCACAATCAAAATCCCGTTTTTTGCCAGGTTTTGTCACTGGCAGCAGCTGAAGTTGCCCAGGCAGGTCAGTAAAATGCCATATTCTTCTGTTTCCTTTCCTTCTGTCCTTCCATGTAGTTTGATTTTCCCTCTATCTCTCTGATGTGCCAGGTTTGTAGCCTACACTGGGAACCCGTGAAGAGATCTGCTGCTCGGCAGAGATGCCGTGAGGATGTGAGCAGCTCCCTGAATTTTTATCCACCTATTTACAAAGTGCTGTGTGATTTAAGAAAAAGGGCTTAAATTAGTACCGTTTGCAAGATGTAGAATTAATCTCACTTAAATGATACAGAGCTTTTTATTTGTACAGCTCCCTCAACAGCAAGGACATGCATAATCCTTACTTTTGTATCCCATGGGAGGAGGTCCCAGAGGTGTAGCCACCTCTGCTACAAAAACTACACCCAGGAAATTAACTCAAACTGAGAACGCTCAGGGGACGCACTGAATCTTTAAAATCTTTGAAGTTGGTATCGTTTTGTATCTTGTGCTGGAGGTAGCCCAGTAAAGGTTGTCCCCTGATTGCTGTGGGAGCCACATGAAACACCCCAAGGCTCTAGGGAGAGAGTCTGGCCATTAAATGCAGCGATTTCCCCTTGTGCTGCAGGATCTCCCCCTTAAATCTCTGCCTTGGAGTCACCCCTGCCCAGCCAGGTCTCAGCAAAGCCTCTGTGGTCTTCAAAGCTGTGTGTTTTGAGTGTTGGAAGAACAGTGGTGACCACAAATGCTGCTTGGCTTCTGCCACCTGCCCTCTCCCTAAACACTTACTTCTGAGGCTGCCACAATCAAAATCCCTTTTTTGCTGGATTTTGTCACTGGCAGCAGCTGAAGTTGCCCGTGCAGGTCAGTAAAATGCCACATGCAGGTCAGTAAAATGCCATATTCTTCTGTTTCCTTTCCTTCTGTCCTTCCATGTAGTTTGATTTTCCCTCTATCTCTCTGATGTGCCAGGTTTGTAGCCTACACTGGGAACCCGTGAAGAGATCTGCTGCTCGGCAGAGATGCCGTGAGGATGTGAGCAGCTCCCTGAATTTTTATCCACCTATTTACAAAGTGCTGTGTGATTTAAGAAAAAGGGCTTAAATTAGTACCGTTTGCAAGATGTAGAATTAATCTCACTTAAATGATACAGAGCTTTTTATTTGTACAGCTCCCTCAACAGCAAGGACATGCATAATCCTTACTTTTGTATCCCATGGGAGGAGGTCCCAGAGGTGTAGCCACCTCTGCTACAAAAACTACACCCAGGAAATTAACTCAAACTGAGAACGCTCAGGGGACGCACTGAATCTTTAAAATCTTTGAAGTTGGTATCGTTTTGTATCTTGTGCTGGAGGTAGCCCAGTAAAGGTTGTCCCCTGATTGCTGTGGGAGCCACATGAAACACCCCAAGGCTCTAGGGAGAGAGTCTGGCCATTAAATGCAGCGATTTCCCCTTGTGCTGCAGGATCTCCCTTCTGGGATCAACCCGGCTGTTCCTGGGGGTGGTGTGGGGTAATTCCTCACCAGAGCTCCCTGTGGCTGTGAGTTTAAAACAGCAACTTGGCTTCTGCCACCTGCCCTCTCCCTAAACACTTACTTCTAAGCCTGTCACAATCAAAATCCCGTTTTTTGCCAGGTTTTGTCACTGGCAGCAGCTGAAGTTGCCCAGGCAGGTCAGTAAAATGCCATATTCTTCTGTTTCCTTTCCTTCTGTCCTTCCATGTAGTTTGATTTTCCCTCTATCTCTCTGATGTGCCAGGTTTGTAGCCTACACTGGGAACCCGTGAAGAGATCTGCTGCTCGGCAGAGATGCCGTGAGGATGTGAGCAGCTCCCTGAATTTTTATCCACCTATTTACAAAGTGCTGTGTGATTTAAGAAAAAGGGCTTAAATTAGTACCGTTTGCAAGATGTAGAATTAATCTCACTTAAATGATACAGAGCTTTTTATTTGTACAGCTCCCTCAACAGCAAGGACATGCATAATCCTTACTTTTGTATCCCAGGGGAGGAGGTCCCAGAGGTGTAGCCACCTCTGCTACAAAAACTACACCCAGGAAATTAACTCAGAAACTGAGAACGCTCAGGGGTCAGTGCTGGAGGTAGCCCAGTAAAGGTTGTCCCCTGATTGCTGTGGGAGCCACATGAAACACCCCAAGGCTCTAGGGAGAGAGTCTGGCCATTAAATGCAGCGATTTCCCCTTGTGCTGCAGGATCTCCCCCTTAAATCTCTGCCTTGGAGTCACCCCTGCCCAGCCAGGTCTCAGCAAAGCCTCTGTGGTCTTATTCCTCACCAGAGCTCCCTGTGGCTGTGAGTTTAAAACAGCAACTTGGCTTCTGCCACCTGCCCTCTCCCTAAACACTTACTTCTAAGCCTGTCACAATCAAAATCCCGTTTTTTGCCAGGTTTTGTCACTGGCAGCAGCTGAAGTTGCCCAGGCAGGTCAGTAAAATGCCATATTCTTCTGTTTCCTTTCCTTCTGTCCTTCCATGTAGTTTGATTTTCCCTCTATCTCTCTGATGTGCCAGGTTTGTAGCCTACACTGGGAACCCGTGAAGAGATCTGCTGCTCGGCAGAGATGCCGTGAGGATGTGAGCAGCTCCCTGAATTTTTATCCACCTATTTACAAAGTGCTGTGTGATTTAAGAAAAAGGGCTTAAATTAGTACCGTTTGCAAGATGTAGAATTAATCTCACTTAAATGATACAGAGCTTTTTATTTGTACAGCTCCCTCAACAGCAAGGACATGCATAATCCTTACTTTTGTATCCCAGGGGAGGAGGTCCCAGAGGTGTAGCCACCTCTGCTACAAAAACTACACCCAGGAAATTAACTCAGAAACTGAGAACGCTCAGGGGTCACACTGAATCTTTAAAATCTTTGAAGTCGGTATCGTTTTGTATCTTGTGCTGGAGTAGTAACCAGTAAAGGTTGTCCCCTGATTGCTGGGGGAGCCACATGAAACACCCCAAGGCTCTAGGGAGAGAGTCTGGCCGTTAAATGCAGCGATTTCTCCTCATGCTGCAGGATCTCCCCCTTAAATCTCTGCCTTGGAGTCACCCCTGCCCAGCCAGGTCTCAGCAAAGCCTCTGTGGTCTTCAAAGCTGTGTGTTTTGAGTGTTGGAAGAGCCGTGGTGACCACAAATGCTGCTTTGCCCACACAGGCGTTGTTAGAACTGGTGGGAGGCTCATCTCTTTAGTAGAACACAGTGTTTTAATAAAAAGCCATTTTAATTTGTAGTTAATGTGGTGGGTGATGTTTGCTGGCTGCTCCTACTCCCCATCACTAGGTGCTCATCCGAAGCCACCAGGGATTTCCAGCCAGGCAGGAGTTAAGAGGAGCCCCTTTGGGAGAAGAGAAGGCAGTGGAGGAAGAGAGGAGATGGGCAGAGGGGAGACTCACCACGTGGAGAAGGAAGATTTGTTCCAGGGAGTAAATTCAGAAAGAAAATGAGCCATTCTCTCTCCCTGACACCAAAGCTGTGGGGACAAACGCCCATGGCAGCCTCCTGGGTAAGTCATTCTTGCTACTGGAGAGCAAATCTCAGAATCCCTATTTAACAAGTTCAGGATTAATGTTAAAAAAAACCCAAAGAAAATTAAAAGAATGTTTCATGCATGGAGAAAATAGTGAAAGCTCATCATCCTGTGAATTACAAATCAGGCCCACCCTTATAAAATACAAAAATTGTTCCAGTAGCCTTTCAGGCATCATCACGAAATGATGGTAACAAGTCAATCTTTAATTTGTGCCCCTTTAAAACATTAAATGTATTAGCTTCTGAAGCAGCCAAGTGCTCGCTTTAACTCACAAGTGTGTTATTCAGATTCTGGCAGTGAAAAGACTGATTTTTTTCAGATGCTCCATGGAAAAATAATATGCGACATTTGCAGTAATCTAGAAAATTTTATTATCTCTAATGCCTCTAAACTGCTCTAGAATTTCCATTTAAAATAATGAAAATGCTTAGGTTTTAAATTTTAAAAAAAGTAGCCAGTACAAAAAAAAAATAAATAAAATTGGGCATTATTAAATGTAACAGAGTTATAAATACACATACGCTTCCACCAGAAAGAATGGCACTGATTTATCTTCACAGCAAAGTGATTTATTTTGAGGAGATGTTAAATGGTCCCGAGAGGTGGGAGGGATGCTGGGCTGCTCTCCTCCAGGACCAGGGACTCCAGGAAGCCAAGGGTCCTGCGGATTCTCCTGGGGCAGGGGATGTGGAAGACGCGGAAGGCGGCCAGCAGCGCGGCCAGGGCCATGGTGCAGTCGTCGAGCTGGGCCAGCTCCTCCCTCCCCACGTACAGCACGAACTCGCACGAGTTCACATTGAAGGGATTTCTCACTTCCAGCACTGGCGTGGCCACCTTCACCTAAATTTGGAAAAAAAAAGAAAGGATATTTCAAATGATGTCACGGCATCGCTCTGGGGAACAGGTCGGAGAAGTAACCACGTGCGATGGCACCGCTTTTGTTGTCCCAAAGCGTGGTCGTTTCCTCAGCCAATATACACACAGAATAGAGGGAATATCTATTTAAATTCAAGCTGGAGGGGAACAGATTTAGACTGGAGATGAGGAGAGGGTTCTTCACTGGGAGGGTGGTGGAGCACTGGAACAGGTTGCCCAGGGAGGTGGTTGAGGCCCC